ATTACTAAATGCCTATCTAGACGTCATACTTTATACCTACCTGACTATAGCTCAATTAGGACTCATTTAAACACGCACAAAAACCTACTAGACTCCATTCAAAACATCTTCATAGAAAATACAAGTGTAATAGCCTCATCTACATGTAAAAAAAGATTTAAAATAATGGAAGCACTAATTATAAAAAAGGAAAAGCCAACACTCAGTAACATTATCTATAAACATGGACACAATGTGCTGACTGTATTTGGAAAATAAAACATTCTTATACATTTTTAAACACTTGTATGAAGACCAGAAAAATTAAATAAGAAGCTTTACCTTGTCAGTTATCTTTAACAAACCTTGTACAAAAAGAGATAATATTATTACTATTTCAAAATTAACTTCTTTACTTGCAGGCGTTGTACTTGGGCGAGATGGTGGCGTCATCCAGCAGTCCTACATTCCCTTTTCCTTTGGTCTTGGAGGAAGAATTGGTTCTGGCAAGCAATGGTTTCCCTGGATTCACATTTCTGACATTGTTGGAATATACAAGCATGTCATCACCAATCCCAACGTGTCCGGTGTCCTCAATGGGGTAGCACCAGAACATGTAACAAATACAGACTTTACCCAAGCCTTCGCCAAGGCATTGCATCGTCCAGCATTTTTCCCAGTTCCTGGTTTTCTGATGCATCTTGTGTTCGGAGACATCCGAGCCAAGGTAATTTTGGAAGGTCAAAGGGTAATTCCTGAACGAACTTTAAACTCAGGTTATGAATTTCAGTTCCCCGATATACAATCTGCTTGTAATCAATTAGCCAGTTGAAAACAATGACGATGAAAACCTTATCAGTTTTTGATGATTGTATTAGTTTGGTGTTGTGTATTTTACAAGAACAAGCAAATCTCAAAGTGACAAAAAGATATTTATAAATTCCTATGAAAGGAGTTACTCTAAACTCTACTTCATACTTGCAGTTGAACTGGAAATCTCTGAAGAGATGACGTAGAGAAAAAAAATACCTTCAATTTTTTTTTTGTTATTTGCCTTGTAATTTTGAATTTGTGTTTTTGGTTTTTATAAGACATCAGCTAAGTAATAATTGTAAACAAAAATATTTCTCTTGTAAGAAATTTAAAAAAAAAAGAAAAAAACTGTAATAAAAACAAATAATCAAATGTAATTCGTTTTGCTATGAGTTTGTCCAGACCGTCAAAAACAACAACGTACATGAAATTGATATTTTGATAAGTTTTTACTTTTTATTAGGTTTTCATGTGTGAAGCTTTTAAGATATTTTTCCAGTTATATTAATATGTAGTAATTTAAGTGAGGGATCAGTTTATTACTTACAATAGAAAACCAATCCCCAACTTTATATCCAGGAAAAATCTTACCCAAACTTTAAAAAATGTCAGATTTAATTTTTACTATTATTAAGGTTTTCACCTTTCAGTCATTTTAGATACTCTTTCCAATTATTTTACAAAGTCAATTGTTTCTTTGTAAACATAATGCCATCAGGAGTTACAGATATTAAAAACAAACAAAATCTATAAATACATTTGATATTATTTAGAGATTGTCATTATTAATTGGAGAGCAAAGTTTCAATTCCGGTTGGGTTCATTATATTCACTTGTGTGTAAATACCCTTGGGAAAAGTATGAATCTGCCTCTTCTCCCCCTATGTATGGGTTAATTAGTAAAATGTATCATGAAAACATTATCTGAAAAAAACAAAAAAAAACTTACAATCTAAAAATATTTTCTGTTTTTAAATAACCTGTAAAGTGTTGAAAAACAATAAAAAAACAAATCAATATTTTACAGGACTGTTGTAGTAGTAACTCCCCACCCCCACCCCCTAGTGAGGATCAAACTCCTTAAACTTGCAAGTTTGTGGTCTGGCAGACACCAAATAAATATTTACTCAGTACAATATATTTAATGTGGATTTAGCATGAGGCCATAAAAATTTCCTCTGCAGACATTTATGGTTAGAATCACAGCAAACATACTAATCTGGTAGCTTTACTCTAAATTTGTTCCTGAGTACTTGATTACTATGCCCTTGTACCATACTAAGCTTATATAATATTAATAATATAGGTCTATTATTTTGTAACATTTTGAATAATTGCAGATATTTAGATAGAATTGAATAATATCATAGATCAGAAAACAAAACATCAGGCATTATCTTTAAAACTAGCTTAAAAGCTGCCCTATCAGGTGTCATTTAAGCTAGCACCTGCAGAGGGCCCTTCAGCACACTAAGTAGGGAGGAGTAGATGTGAATGGCAACAAGAAACTAAAGAACTAAAAATTGATTGCTGCATTAATATTTAAGCTTACCTTTCAAAAGTTCAAAGATAATTTTTCTGCCGCCACTTAATGACAATTTGATGTACGTAGGTCCTTATTTTCTGTACAAACAATTATTTTTATTTTAAGGGTGACTTTTGCAATTTCAATTATTCCTAAATTTATTTCCAAGTTATAAAAATTGTTATTGTTAAAAAAAAAAAAAAAAAAAAATTGGTGAAAACAATCAGTAATGAAAATTTGGGAATTCCAAATTTCAGTATTGCAGGTCTGGATCCAGACTGCAATGTTTTTAATTTGCTCATGGAGTCAACCTGATTCCAAAATGGTATATGTTGGGCTATGGCCTCTAGGAATAAAGTCAAAAAAGTATGATACACTGACATTTGCATTTATTCTATAAATGATATCACATGAGTTGTTCTGTTTGACAGTGTAAGGCTTTTCAAAATGGTAAGACATGTTTACTTGATTTTTTATTAACTAGACTCTTTTCATTGTTTCTTTTTTTCTATCCATTTAAAATTTGACTAACTAAACTGAAGTCTTAATTGTGCCCTGGGCAAGAAGTTTGGAAAACTGTCTGTGGTGATAAAATGTTTTTAAGTATTGCAGTTTACCTGGAGATTGTCATTTCAATCTGTGAATGAGGATGAAATTGCAGAAGAATTTACCAAACTATTCCTTTGCATAGACAATGGAATGAAGATATCTATTCTCTTGGACTGTTCAACAGTACATGAAAACAAATCACTTTAGAAATATCTCTAAGGTTCTTCTCTTTAATTAACCATAAAGATCCAACATGCAATATGAGGGTTTGATATGTTGTATAGAAAACAGTTAAATAATACTTTTATATATATATATATATATATATATATATATATATAAATGAGCAATAATTATAAAAGCCATTGTCACTTTAAGGATTCTAATAATGAACCTTTTCTTCTCAAAGTTTACATACAAGTTTAGTTTTATTTGAATGAACTGATAACATCATTCTGTATTTCCCATGTTTTGTCAGATTCGATTTAAAAAGGAAAAAATAAATTCTTTTTCTTTGAGAAAGTCAATATGTTTCAAGTTCATCAAACCATTAGGATTTTTTGTTTTAATACCATGCTACCAAATGCTCTATTAATGTTGTAAAGCAGAAAAGCAATTTTAGATTTTATGTTAACTTAAATAATTGGAAAATAAAGCTAGAATTTTTTTTTTTTTACAGAAGTTTCACTTTTTGTCTATATTTCTGTGATGAGGTATTGTAACTATTTACATTGTATATGAAAACTTAAATATGATAACTTAAGGAATCAGTACATATCCTAGGCCACAAAAATCTCCTAAGCAAAACGAATACAATATTGTCACCTGTAATACGGAGTGTTAGAGAAAAACCATAATAACAATAAAAATGATTACTGAATCATTAAGTTTATAAGTCCCAAAACATGGTCCAGTGAATAAACGCATTGCTTGATGTAATCCAGTGACTTGACCCAAAGAGTTGTGATTTCAATACCTGGCCACAGCAGAGGTGAACAAAAACTTGGAATTTAAAACGAATTAGTAACTAAGATATCCAGTAAAGGCCTGGCATGTGGAATTAGAACAAACTTGTTCTAAATAAAGTGTTTGATTTGAAATTCCTATGTATATCACCTGAAATGGCTGAAACATTGTGAATATGGCAATAAAGATGGACAACAGTCAGAGGTTACCGCCACAAAAATGCAATACCTAATGGTTAAAATTAGTTTTTAATAATGAAAAATCTTTAAGCTTTTTTTTTTTTTTTTTTTTTTTTAGCTTTAATTTCAAGGTGATAGATTAAATTTAATATTTCCAATAAGCAAAATACTTTGCTCAACTTCAAAACCAAAATTTCCAATCAATTTAGATTGGAAATTTTTTTTAAATTTCTAAAATTTTTGAATTTAGCACCATCTTTTTATTAAAAAAAATCTTCCAAAAATAAAATTACTTTTCTGAGACTGAGAAATATTAGTCAATTTAAAGTTTAATTTGATTTGAAATGACTTTTTTTATGTTTAAAATATCACAGAAATACATTTTTCAACATGATGGTAGATTGTTTATGTAGACAACTTTTTAACACCTTCATGACACAGATTGTTATCTAATGTTCTATGAGGAGGGCTTTAATCATAAAAAAAAATAATTGAGAAATATAATGCAAAAACCTTTTAAGTACTTGGTAATCTAATGTTTTATTGAATTTTGGCTTTAAATTTGCTATAGATGTCGCCCTTATATGCCGATAGCTTTGTGTATGGGTGACCGTATCTATATTATTTGGCACGTTTTTACCCATACAAAAAAAAAAAATTCAAAATTCTTTTTAAAATATTCAGGGTTGTCATATTTTAATAAGCTTTGCAATATATGATTAGTAAATATAGTTTTACTTAATAACAATATTCCCTAAGAGTTAAACTACTGAAACTGAATGTTCGTAAAACATTCTTTTAAAACAATTTTATGAGAAAAAGAAAAACCTATTTAAAATAAAAATGTAAAGTTAAAGTAATTTTGTAAATTTTATTGTACACAACATAAAAACACACAAGTGACATTTAACAGGAAATAATTTACATACAAAAAGACAGGAAAAAAAAAAAAAAAATTTGTAAAAAGGTGATTTATGTTGGGAGTCTGGTTATCTCCAGGCTCGGTTTAAAGCCTTTCTGGCAGCTAATTTTTGAGAGACAACCGAAACAACAATCATCCCAATGAGAACACTACTGATAAAAATATAATCAAAATCATCTTTGAGAACGTCAAACATTTTGGAAGGATTCACTCGAGTGTAGAAAAGATCTGAAGAAGAAAAAGAAAATAGATCACATTCATGATCGTCATTGTAAAAAATTTGAGTGAATTTATTTTTATGAGTGGAACAACCATTTTCTTCTTTCACATTATAAACATTTTGTTTAAATATAAAAAAAACAAAAACAACAACAGAATTTGGTTGAAGCATCACAACTTTAGTTGTGTCTCCCCACAAAGAGAGAATTTATATTTCAGGGAGGTGTTGCCTAGAGGGGAGATAAAAACGGACAATAGTTTTCTCTACTAAAACCAAGATGTATGGGGGGGGGGGGACTTCTGAATTCTGACATTCAACTGGCATTGAGATGTTAACGTCAGACAAAATCGTTCCATACAAATTTTCAGCATTCCCTAACTGATTAGAGTTTTGTGATTACAATCTCAACTTTAAAATTTTTTTTAGAGAGAACTCTCACCCATCAATTAGTGGCTATAACCATTAAGCTAAACCTAGTGATGGCAAATTCTAGATTTCATCAGTGCGGCCTTTAAATATTTTCTTCTGCATTTAATTTCTTTGTTAAGCTGAAGTTATGTCCACAAGGAAAGCAACCCTTACTGAACATCACAAAAGCCTTTGAGAATTCAGTCCTCACTAAGCGATTTTACTTATAATATCTAGTTTTGTGATTTTTATACTGAAATTTAATTTGTAAAAGTACCCCAGGGACAAAATCTGTTTTGGCTTTCCTGTATAACCTCATCCTCCCAAATTAAGCCTTTCAATTTAATAATATTGAAACACATTTTCACTTTTGTTGACTAAATTTAACATTGACTTATTTTTAATAATTTTGGTTTCAAAAAAATTCATCTTTTGTTTCCAGTAGGCACACGACATTCACCAAACCTTTTGATGCCATATCGCAGAATAAACAGTTTATACTTTTAATAATTTCAAGACTCCCAACAGTTCAGAATTTTGATCTCATTCTTTTTGTAGCATTTATTGTCACCAAACTTTGACTGATCCATTCCCCAAGTATATACGTAACTATTAGATATATTTTAGCAAACTATTCATCATATTAATGTTGATTTCCGTGTGATTTTCAGAAACTTGAAAATCGAGACCAAAACTGAAAAGCACTTCAAGTACAGCCATCTGGGACATTTGAAACTTACACACGAGTTGTATTTGGTGACCCTCACAAATATGGGTGACATCAGGCGTATAGTTTGTAAGAAAAGGGAAAGGAAGGCTGGTTTTTATAGAAAAGAAATGATTTTGTTTACTTTTTATATTCAGACATAAGGAAATTCTCTTCAATTCTTTCCCTTTCATGTTCCTTATCTTTTATTTAGATGATGACGATGTCATCTGAGAGAAAGAGAGAGTAATATGAACTTCTCTTTGAATAGAACTCTTGCTATAGTTCAAAGCCCATCTGAAACACACTTTTGGGAACAAGCGAAGCTGATCGTCAATATATTTGCTCTCACTTTCTGCAAGAATGGAAACATCCTCTTTTCCAGATGCATTTGACATTTGAAGAGAACAAAATAAAGCATTGTGGTCACAACAACAAAAATGTGTTCAAGAGAGCAAACAACAAATCAGGAGTTTTTCATTATATTTTCTCAAAAAGGCCAGAATAATTCTAAAACAATCAAATTTCAAAAATCAATTTCTTTCTTACCAAGACCGTAGGCCAAGATCAGAGATGTTGATTCCAGTCCAGCAGAACCAGTGTGGATCCCATTGATGCCATAAACACTTTTATTGTAGTTAACAATGGCTTCCATATTGATAGGAATTTCTGGAACATAGGGAATGGTTCCTTCCTCCCTAGAAACAAACAAACAAATATGAACACTCAAGACTTAAGAGAAGCTGGCTTTATGCAAGATTATTTTCTTCATAGCATCTTCTTAACACATACAAATGCATACGAGCCATGATGAAATATTTCTATACTCAAAATTGTTTTAAATTACTGTGTTTGATGACATAAATGGCACACAGGCACATTAGACATACCACTATTTCAGGACACATTCAGGATAAAAAATAATGTAATGTTTAAAGCAAACTAGCAAAACATTAGAAAATCATTTAAGCGAGAGCAGAAAACCTCACTGTATATAAAAAGCAATCTAACAGTAGAGCTGAACGTAAAACAAGAAATCACAATTATGAAAATATCCTAAGTGATTAGAGTAAGAGAATGTTGACAATATTTTCTGAGAATTCCTTTTACAATACTGACAATAATAATAATAATAATAATAGTAGTAATAATATTTGACTAAGTACTATTGGGGTGTCTGGGTTGGTAGAAGTGATCATCTGAGATAAAATGACAGCATTAAGGAAAATGAAAAGCCTCAACTTCATGTTTAATATGCATTCATTTATTTTCTATGGTTTATCAATCCATTGCAGGTTGTTTAAAGCCAGAGAAATATAGATGTTTTTAGATTGTAAGAATTTTTTGTAGATAAAAATGATTTCGTGATACAAGTCTTATTAATTAACCCATAGTGCCGGGAGGAGAAGAGATGAATTTGTGCCTTTTCCCAGGGGGATTTGTGTATAAGTGAATTTTGCAAACCCAATTGGAATTAGAACTTGGCTCTCCAATTTCAAAACAATTTTCCATTACATCACCTGTACATCCAAAACAGCACCTGGTATTCTCAATTGGTCACCCATCTAGGTACTAACCAGGGTCAATGTTGCTTAACTTTGGTGATTGTATAGGGACCATTGTTTCAACACTATATGGCCGTAAGCTCAACTACACGTTTAAGATATAGGGTGATTTTTATGTTTTAACCAGTTTTGTGGAAAATAAGGTGGTGTGTCTTAGATGCCATTAAATTTTTTCAGGAAAATTCTACATCTTTAATGAAAAGTCAAATTAGTTAATCCAATATTCAGTTGTTTCCCAACTACAAATTAAGAACACAGAACTGATTCTGATGTACGTTTAGCTGAGGAGAGAAAAGAGATTCTGATCTGCATCTCCAAAAGTGAAACCATTACTGTCAAACAAAAATCAAGAAACAACTTACATATGTTGCTGAGTTGGGGTTACTGGTCTCCTGGGGTCAAGGAATGCTTTTGGTAGGGAGAGAAGTCCACCAAATTTCAATGAAACTAAAAACAAAAAATGTGTAAGCATATTAAGCATATTCATTCAAAACATGAAATTGAGAAAAAAAGAAAAAAAAGGAAAAAAAAAAAAGAAAAGGTGATTCCAAAAGAGTTATCAATTTGTAAATGGTTTCACTATTTAAAAGGATCCATTTTCTTACCGATAACATGTTTGCTAGTAATTCCCTTTTCAGTTATTGTGGCTGCCATTGTTGAGATGTGAGCTGGGAAAATATAGGCTTGACGCATTACCATTGGCACTGGTGGGGGGTTGAAGGAGGAGAATGCTGTAGAGTTGCTTTGTTCTTTTCCTTCATACATTTCCAAGATGACCATTTCATTACGGCGATTTTTCTGGCTGTAGAAATTGTACTACAAAACAGGAAAATGTTAATCAGTCGGGCGACAGTTTGAAGATTTGGGAATTACACTTAGAACAACGGACAAACTATTTGAAATACAAATTACATCAAAGCTCAATTTTTATATAATGATATTAGCTGCGTGGAGTTTAACATTTTTCAGACAAAACCGCAAATCATATAATTTCAGGATGTGAATAATTTAATAAACAAAGAAATTAAATTTCAAACAGTCATGTTGACATATTCCTTTTGAAAAACACGATAAAGAACTATTAGAGCCTGAGAGTATTTGAAATAAACAAGCACCCATTTTGAAATATTGCTAAGCATAAAATTGCTGTTAATGGATAAATAAATAAAAAAAATAAGGTGTTGAGGAGGTGGGGGGGCATATCAAAATGTTGTTCTTTCGATGAACTCAAATCAAGAATAATGAAAACAATTCAAGTAACAATGAATTCATAGAGTTTGAGAATTTGATTAAAATAGCCAAAAACAATATTAAATAAATAATATAGCTTCCAATTTGCCAGTTCTACTTGTCTTTAGATAAGAATGGTGAACCTTGGGCTGTGGCTCTAGATATCCAAAACATGTTTGGCATGCTGGTCTTCTCCAGAGGCTCAAGGGCTATGGGGTTGGTGGATGAATATTTGGCTCAATCCAATCGTCCCTAACAAATTGAGTAATGAAGGTCATGCTAAACGAACATGCTTCAAGAACATTTCATACTAATGTGTGTGTGGGGGTCCTCCAGGGCTCTATCCTTGGACCTACAATGTTTCTGATTTTTTCATCAACAACCTTCCCAATGTTATCAGTTCCCAACTAGATATTTACACCTGATGACACAACTATTTACTCCTGACTTAGTAGCAAATCTGACAAAGTAAAACCTTGTAATTGCACTTGAAAAAGACCTCCACTCAGTGATTATGAAGTGGATTAGATTAAATTGAATCAATTGCTGTCTGCTGCTAAAAAAGTTGTTTCAATGTGTCGTGCCAGACAATTTTTCTCATCAGAATCCGTCTTGCACATTTATAAATCTACCATTCATCCATGCATTGAATACTGCTGCCATATCAAATTTGGCTCCTGCTGTATATCTCAAGATTCTTGACAAAATTCAAAGAAGAGTCTGTAATGTAAGTGATCTTGACCTGGTATCTTGACTTTAGTCACTTTCACACTGATATAACATGGTTTCCCTCTGTCTTTTTCTACAAATATTTCCATGGCAGTTATTCTGATGAGCTTTTTTTCCTTAGTATTTTGACTGCATAAATTTAAACATACAACTAGATTAGCAACTAGGTTTCATTGTTTTACAGTTGAACTAGCAAGATGCTATAAGTGGACTTGAAAAACTTGGAAGAAATCACATACAGGGAAATAAAAAATGACTTCATAATTGCTGACCAAAACATTGCCATTAAAGATGTCAATGTCATAAGTTAACATAGGAATCAATCATAAAAATGATTGATTGGCAAGTGAAATTTGGCTTTAAAACTGAGAGAAACAAAATGAGTTTAAGAAAGAAAACATATTCTAATAAGGTCAGCAAATTTCAGGTAGAAATCAAGAAGAGATTTCAGGCATTGTGGAATGAGAAAAATAACAGAAAATTTGAATAGCAAATTGGTAACTTGTAATTTAGGAAGTAGCAAAGAAGAAAAACAAAAAGGAAATAGAAATAACAAAGGGAGATAACTCAAAATCAACATTGATGAAAAAAGAAATATAGATTTAAATATCAAGATAAAATTAAACCAATCAATTACAAATGAAATCCAAAAAAAAGAAAAAGAAAAAAAAGACGATGTTGGAATGAGGAAAAGAAAGATAGAAGATAATGATTGACATTGAATTTAAATTTTCAAAAATTAAAGTTGCTTGGAAACCAAGAAGCTAAAAGCCACAAATGACAAGTGGAAAAAGAGAAGTTGTTAGCATAGAACTTATGATTGCAACTAGCAATTTTAACTGTAAAATGATGAGACCTAGCTGCCAATCTAGTACTGCACTTAAATTCATAAAATAGTTATAGAAAAGACACAGCTATGCTATATTACAGCAGTGGGAAAGTGACAAAAACTGAGATGCCAAATAATAATAATATTATAATATTACAGATTCTTCTTTGGATTTTATCAAGAATCTCTAAATATGCAGCAGAAGCACCAGACCAAATGTGAGAGTAATATTCGATGTATGGATAAATGGTAGACTTATAAATGTGTAAAATAGATTCTGGTAAAAAAGATTGTCTTGCATGACAAAGTGAACCAACTTTTCATAAGAATTTGAATATTGTGTTTATAAGTCATAATTGACTGTAGAGGGCAACAAATGCCTTTAATAAAAACTGTGATTTTTATCAAAGACTTTTTTTTATTGCCTATCAAGAGAAGAATAGAAAAGCATCACCAATAGAAAATATTTTGTTGGAACAAAAGTTGTTTTCAAGCTCAACTTTGGTTTGTTTTCCTTCATTCATCAACCAATCATGTAAACAATGAGAATTATTGGAAGTGACTTCCAGGTTTTCTTACAGATATATTTGGAAAATATTTGCAAAGGAAAAATACCTAAATGTCAAAAAAAAAATTTAGTTAAAATCTAATATTCCCATTTGAACTTTTGTTAGTTTCAACAGATGTTAAGGTTAAACATTTTTTCTTCTTTTCAGTTGACAAATAGACATGAAAGTTTTTTTTTCCTCATTACCATGAAATATTTCATTTTCTTACGTCTCAATGACATTCTTTACACCCAGAGATTTACATGGTCATCATCATCATGCACGATTTACATCTGTGTCAGATTGCAAACTCATGAAACCTATTTCAGTCATCATGTGTTTTTCAGGCCGATACATCTCCATTAATTGCCAGACTGTTGGGGAATGGGTGTTTTTACAGAGACGCCATCTCCAGAGAGATTACCATCCAAGGCTAAAGAGCTTCTAACGGCCACCTGTGACTTCGTGCTAGCACAGTCATTTTCAACCAAATACACTAGTGCAAGTGCAAGGGAGATTATTCCCTTTTACATTTTGGCAACTGTTACAGACAAAACAAAACAAAACGTTCAATTACCCGTGTCATTATTTACAAATATCCTCATCTTTCTTTTTTATCATGTTTCAGCCATTGTGCCTTCTTCAGATGTCTGTTGATCAAAGGTATTCATCAGGGAAATTTGAACTGAACCCTTTATTTAATCTACAAGTAGAGTGTTCTTTTGACCATGTCTAAGGGAGATAACTAGTCTTTTTCTCTCTTTTCCTTTTTTTAATAATTGGCCCATTATTGCTGGACCTGTCTCTTCTAAGCCTTCTAATCTACTTAAATCTAATAAGTCTTCTTGACTCAAGCTTCTGTCCTTTAAGGAAAAGTAATTGGCATATAATATACTATGACATAATACATCAGTCTGTTAATAAAAAAAAGGCGGTGGTTCAAATTGATGCTACTTGTGCTGAACAGCATTAATTTTAAGATTAAAAAATATTTTAACCATTTAGAAACAATTAGCTTGGTGTGACTGAAAAGATATTTAATTGATATGCAATCAGACAAAAATATCATCCAGTCTCATCATATTCCATTGGTGACATGTAAGTTCCACTGGAGCAGCTTCTTTGTGGAACCAACTCCCAAAACGATGCATACCCCAATCACTACAATCTTAACCGGTTCATGTCAACCCTCGACTGAATCATTATCTTCCCCACAAATCCCCATAAACCGTGCCTCTTACACTGTAACATTCTACCTCGAGTGGCTCTTGGGCCTTGTACAGGGTGAACATCATTGTAAAAAAAAAAAAATGTCTCAATTGGTTAAGGAGAATAAAAGGCAGAAAATATGATTGGAATTCCATTCGATAGCTACCTTCAAAGTCTTTTTGTAATTATTCCATTGGGGGCGGGGAGGGGAGGAAGAAAAATAAATTGTCCTGAACTGATGAAGATTATGAAACATTGAAAAGAAAACTTTTACTTACAACAACCCAATTCTCGGAATGTACAACATGCACAGGTCCTCGAGCCCTTCGATGAGTAGCATGGAAAACAATGTTACCAGAGATTAAATCTATCAGGTAAACATTCAAGAAATTAGAAGGGGCTGGAAAAAATAAAATAAAAAATAGAATCAAGATTAGAGCTTCATTCAAAATTGGAAAACAAAAAGCATTCATTTGAGAAGGTGAAGCAATTAACAAAATAGAGAAATCATTTCTCACAGAAGAAACGTCGACCAGAGTGTAACAGCAAATCTCTAAAGCCATTGCAAATGAGTTCCTTCCTTGTGATGTTACATTAGTTTTGTCCCAAGATTTCACTGTAAATATTTCCAATTCTTCTAATGGATTTTTCTTACATTTTCCTTATTTATTGGTTTACTATAAACACCATATTCTGTGGGCGCACATTTGCAAAGACATTCCTGTGTTTTTAAACAATGAAATTTATGTCTACCGGCCTAGAAATTAAGTCTTAATAAAGAAAATGTACTTCCCATCAGGAAGCAAACCTGATTTCCTTTTTTAAGTAGAGAAACTGCTTTCAAATTCAGCATGCTTTACCATTATGTTACACTAGCAGCATGGCCCGGCGTTGCCCGTGCTTGATTTAAAAATCGTACGACTCATACAGCAATCGCTATCACTTGACTTAAAATATTTTTGCCCTTCCTTGCCTTTAAAGGAGTGCCCTTTGCTGTGCTGATGTTACTACATGCCTTACTTCTTGCCTATCTCACACTGCGAATTTTTTCTAAGCTCTATACTAAACATTAAATCTGTTATGAAAAAAGAACTAAACAAAACGAACACAAAACGATCAGCTTTAAAAAAGGTCTCATTAACTGGAAAAGCCGAATGAAAAAAGAATGTTAACAACAAATACTTTTTCACACCCAACCCAGTTCTGCAGAATCAGAATCAACATTGAGTTTAAGCAAGCGAATGAGCCAATTGGAGTAAAGTGCCATGCAGATTTAAATTCTTCCCACTTGTGACGAATGCAGCTATCGATTTTTTTGCATGCTAGCATGCTAGTTAACATTCGTGTCAGTCAGCTGTTGGCTCTCACGCTGGCCAATAGAATCTTCCTGCCTATTCGTGGCAGCCAGCTATAGGCTCTCACTCTGGCCAGTAGAAAATGGCCGCAAACAACATGTAAACTGACGTAGAAGCATGAAAAAATCGATTATTTCCACTATCAACGGGAGTTGGGAAATGCAAAGTCGATCTTGACCTTCCCGCTAACTTGGAGCATGTGCATGTAAATTTTGGTGCAAATCTGTCAAAAATTGCGGCTGTGCATTCGTTACACACACACACACACATCCTGCCTTTTATAGATAGAGATGAAGCTGTTACGGAAAAGTAAGACTCAATTACACTACCTGGGAAATAATTCTCTTTATTAAGACTTCCAATCTCTAGGCTGATAGACATTAATTTCACTGTTCTTGTCACTCTTTGTTTAAAACACCAAGTAAATGAAACTTACAGAATGCCAGCGTCATTTGAAAGTGCAAATATTACCCAGTTTTAATAAAGTGTTTCTTTATCTCAGAGTTCAACCTCAATAGTTTCCAAACACACAATTTCCTAAATTGATTATTTGTTTTTTTCTCTTGACACATTACATAAAACTTTCTTCACAAACCCTCTTCTATTTCTATCATAGGAAAAACAATAGTCCCCCTCAGGTATTCTTGATAACTCATATCATCAAACCTCTTTGGGAATAAGCCATTTCTCATAATAATCATATCTTTATGATACGAAAAAAGAAAAAAGGTGTCACTCACTTTTCTGTGATGGTAAAGATGGTTCTTCCCCTTCTGCAGTGACCACAGCCAAATTTGGATTCAGGTATTTGTACAGCACACTCCTGTCCCCAAGCACACGTCCTTGGGAATGAACAACTTCTGGAAAAAAAAAAAAAAGAAGTCATTGAATTCGTTTGAATTTTATGTTTCAAGTTTGAAAATATTGTCTTTATATCTCATATATATATATATATATATATATATATATATATATATATATATATATATATATATATAAAATATTGCCTTGTTTGGGGTGAAATGATTAAAAAAAAAAAAAAAAAAAAAAAAATGAGCAATAATTATAAAAAAATGCTAGTCATTGTCACTTTCGAAAGACCAGTCGTTCAAAAAGTAAAGTATTAAAAATTGACCAATTGCAAAAACTAACAATAAAGGAATGGAACAAATTATGATATCTTTTCCCCAAGGAGGATGAACGTCAATATGTTTTTGTTTTTTTTAGTCTTTATTATAATCAATGTTTCACTTACCTGAGGCTCTTTTTGGCAAAACATTCGTGATGGTCTGCAAATTCTGCTGCATATTTATCGACCAAATATTCTCTGTTTGTATCTAAGAATTAGAATCAACCAAATTCGTTATCATTTCTATGGAAAGCGTGGGTAAGTATATGGAAAGCGTGGGTAAGTATATGGCACCCTGTGAAGATCAAACTCACTATGCTGAAGTAACAATCTGTGAAACTAGCTTGTGAACCATTACATTACAGCCATGAACCCAAGGGTGTAAGAATAAAATATGTAAACAAAATCTAAGTGATTTCAATGGGAAAGGACAATTATAACAAAATAATTAATCTTCACTTTGGAATTTAGTCAAACTCTTAATTATCACCAAAATAATATTTAAAAATTCTGAAGGCAAATAATTACATCTGACAATCATTCCGAAACTGGTATAGCAAATGATACACACCAGACATGACCAAAATATTGTATCAAACCACTACTCACCACAATTACCTTCCCTACCCAGGGACTAATTGAAAAAGCTGTTCTTTTCATTATCAGTTTTGACAAGGATAAGTTAAACCGTGATAATATATTTTATTGATTGATATTCACATTCAGTGGACCAGTCTGTGGAGGGAGGAGGTCTATTTATTTAGTAAGTTTAGTCTGGCACAAAGCCACAATAATGGCAGCAGGGAAGATTTGTTTGGTCTGCAAGACAAGCTTATTAATCATTGTACTACAGAATGTTCACAACCTGTTCAGTTCATGTCCTACACATTTGATTTACAAGTCTCTCCTTCAAACCCTATTCAACAAAACTCTTCAATACACGGTCATTTAACCTTTAACACACTGCATTATTTACTACTTTCCTTTCCACTGCATTGTTTCTCAAGGCTCCTCTACTGCACTACTTAATTTCAATTATGACCATTTTCTGTTGCCATAGTGGGATATGACAACACAACTACAAAATTCAAACATGCTATCATTCATTCATCTGAGTCACTTGCAATGGCAGGAGAACATTTTTATTTCACAAACAAAATCACTTCCAGAATGTTAAAGGCTAAGATAAAGCAAACCCTTTAAAATCAAATTCATTCATTTGTGTTTCAGAAATTCAACAAGCTAGAAATCAAAAGGGGTTTATTTCTCGTATAAAAATAAAAAAAAGTTTAATTTTACCTTGCCGCGATTGTTAACAACTCTATAACCCAGGATTTCTCCATCTATAATGTTGACAGTGTGGAAGAACACGGTCGGTAGGAATGTTTTCAATGTCTTTTTATAACTGGCTGGATATGTATGCACCTGATAAAAATGAAGAAAATAATATCAGACAAAAATTCAACAATTCATATGACAGCCTCCGTGAAATTTTATAATAAAAAAAAAAAAAAAATAAAAATATTTTTGTTGTTTAGATTATTGATCTCTTTCTTCGCTGTTCTAAAGAAATAAACAGTAAATTCTATCTGTCTATCCGTCTGAAACCTATCTAACTCGAACCACACTTGCTCTACAAAGACATATACTATTTTGGAATTGGGATGATCCCAGGATTGAAAATCTGTTCTTCATCTGGTGTTTGGATTTGTGTCCAGTTAAAAGTTAAAATTTTAAAATAACTGGGGAAAAAAAAAAAAAAATAGTGATTTTTAAAAGTTTTTAATTTATATTGAGTTTAAAGTAACACAAAAAGCTTTATTTATATTATAAATATATTATTTTTTGTTTTAAATTCTACTTAAAATATCTCCAAAACTTTGTGAATTGAGGAAATCAATTTTATTTCTTCAAAATGCCAAGGAATCAAGAGTTAAAGTGAGAGGTTTTAGGATGTGAGGTTTTGAAGTTTTGCAGAGTTTGTCATTTGAAGAATTCAACTTTTGGGTGGAATTGGACTTATAGTCCAGATCAGAGTTAAAGTGAGGTTTTGAAGTTCTATGAAGTGAATTGAGGAATTCAAAATTATTTCTTCAAAATTAATTTTGCTGTTTTCTAAACTGGACCAGAGGTCCCTTTAGTCTTGGGTCTAGCTAGCTTGAAAGTCTGCAGGGAGTGAAGCTTTTAAGCTAGTTTTATTTAACATTAACATATTTAAAAGAAAAAAAAAATTGAAAAATATAAAAATATGTAATAATAATTTTCAAATAATTTCAAATTTATTGACCTAAAGATAGAAACTGAAACCCTGAAAACTGTTATAAAAATATAAATTTAAACCCTGAAAACTGTTATAAAACTCACAGTATAAGTGTCATCAAGAATCAAGACACCTTTGAGGAAATTGTTGTCGGGTTCAGAAAACATGGATGCTTGAAGCACAGTATATAGCAAGTTCTTGCCACTGGATGGAATGTCAGCCACAGGGGCACCAGTGACAGGATTGAAGGCATATAATAAACCTTTGCCATTGACCTAGAGAGAAAGAGAGAGAAATGCATTAAAGAGGGATTGATTTTTAATGTCAAATTTGACATTACATTTTAATGTAATTTTAATGTCAACTTGACATTACATTTGAAAGTTCAGTAACAATAAAAGCAATAAATAAATGATTAAAGATGTCAAGGAAAAAGCATGTGTTGTGGTCAAAAGATAATTTATTAGCCACACAAGTCAAATGGAGTGCCTTGCTATAGAGCAATGGTTAGCACTGATTATTACTACAATAGTGAGTTTGATTCTCAAGTCCATGACCCTCCACACCTGTGGTTCTGTGTCAGATAAAGGAGGAGGAGGAGAAGGAAAGGTAAAGAGTAAGAAAAAGAGAGAAAGAAAACTGAAAAGACAAGAGGGAGAAATAGAGGTGAAAAGCACGAATAAAGAAACTTCAATTTCTTACTTCTTCATCTCTTTCATCTTTTCAAGTGGCTAAAGATATAATTGTTTTCTCTTTGTAAACAACACACACACACTCTCCTAACTCACATTTACACAGAAAGGTAGGTTGGTGCTATTGTATTGCCATACAGACACAATTATGTCACATCTTTTGGGAGTTAAACATTGGAGGAGAACAGGTTAAGACAAAATTAAATTGTTTTCTGCTTTACATAAAAAGGGGGTAAAAAAAAAAAAAAAAAAAAAAGGAAAAAAATCTCCAGTGGACCTTGCTTTTTCCCAACACCAGGCATTGAGGGTCAAGTCCAATGTGTGCTGTCGTTCTCATGACAAAAAGTAACAGCTTGTCCTTGCCATTGCTGTCAAATGGAGCAATCTTAGAAATGTAGTGGTGCCAAATAATATGACCGTTTTGGCTTCGGATTCCAAACAACTGCAAAAAAAAAAAAAAAAACAACTTTCAACATAAAGCCAAATAAACAGACATATAATAGAAAGCTAGGAAAATACATTTTGGTTTTACAGCAACAGAAGAAATATCATTTTGTTAAACGGTCACAAAACACATTAGCATAAAGAGAGAATGATTTCAAAACATTAAATAGAAAATAGCCCAATTCTATTAGTAACACTTGTATTAATTCCTGACCACTAACAATACCTTTCTTCCTCATTTGCAATGCATTCCTATAGTTAAATCATTAGCAATACATTTACATTATACATAGCTCTATATTATTAGTAATGCTTGCTTTTATCTCCTGACCGATGACAATCTCATTTTCTCCAATTTTCAAATCACAGCAGATAGACTGAATTATTGATTGATTGTTTTTTTTTATGGCTTATCAACCCTTTGCAGGTTATTTAAAACCAGAAAATATTTTTACATTTTAAGAGTTTTTTTTGCGATAATGGTTTAATGATGTAAGGCTTACTAATTAACCCATAGCTGGAGGGAGAAGAGGTGGATTCATACCTTTCCCAGGGGTATTTGCGTGTAAATGAATATAATGAACCCAATGGGAATTGGATCTTGGCTCTCAGATCAACAATTCTGAGCCATTATCCATTGCACCATCCTCACATCCAAGCTTACAGCACTTAGTATTCCTCAGCTGTCACCCATCTAGGTACTGACCAGGCTTGACTTTGCTTAACTTCAGTGATTGTGATGTGGCTGTAAGCCTAGCATATAGATTGAATACTTAAACTTGCTGCCACAAATTCTCAGAATTATCCTCATCAGATTAAACATAGGCTATTAAAAATTCTTGTGGGAGAGGGGCATAAACTACACCCCCACCAGAACACTTATTGGCATGCTCCTGGGTTTCATTTTGCACAACCTCTTTGTGCAGAACATAGAAAAGTATTAAATAATTACATTTTTTGAATTCATATTTCTTATAAAAGATGAATGCATGGGAAGTTGAATTGTTGAGCCAAGTTTAAATCTGGGTTAAGTCTGTTGCATTCACTTTTGAAATATTTACCATTGAGTTAAATAGCAGGGTAGGTTGGCAACCAGTCTAGAAGAAGGACAAAACAACTCTTTGAGTAAGAGTTCTGCAAGGGTCCTCTAGTGGATTAGGCAACAGAAGGTGGGGGTGAGTAGATACACCCAGCCTAACTCCATATTAATCTAATATTAAACCATGTCACAGGGAGTCATAATAATCTAAGATATTTTGTTTACAGACAAAAATCCTAAGTGAAAAAATATGGGAGATTAGTTGACCAGATTGGAAACTGATGGAAGAAGGTTTGGTTTAAAAATATTAACCAAAGCTTATAAAATGCTTATGAGAAATGAACTGGTAGGATTTGAACCCAAAAATAAATCTAGTAAGATTTAGTAAATTCAGTACATCTGAATTTTCCCTGTCAATTCTCATCCCCAAGGAAGTTATGGTGACAAGATTAATGTGTTAACAAAATTCTGCAAACCCAGATGAATCTGAGAAGAGTTTATTTAGCAAATTATTCAACCAAATTTATGTTGATTTTTACCAAAATATGCGAACCCAAAATCTGACTGGAAACAGAAAACATCCATAAATATTATTCCCCCAAACAAATGTCTATATAAATCAGGACTCACAGCAGTGGTGTGGCTAAAGTGGGGGCAGTCCACTTCAGGTGATACTTTTGTGTCTGCTATAGGCTATAAGCCTGTATTGAAATAAAAGTCATTTTAATGTTGGGACTGTACTCACAATTGAAGGATCTTTTCAATTTCAAGTAACATAAACTACAGCATATGTATTGGCCTATCTACTGTCTATAGAGTGACAATTGATAGATGAAATAGTTTTTGAAGAATTTACCAACTAAAAAACAAAAGAAGTTACTTTGTACAAAGTTTTGTAATTTTCATTTCAGAAATAAAGATGTTCCTAATTTCTTACTTTTTTCCCCCGAGATGTCATTTTTGCTTTTTAACTGTTAAAATTTACATATGTTTGGTGTCTATTAAAACCTTACTATATTTGAGTATGTGAAAGTAATATTATAAATGATATACAACTTTAAGAGTAATTAACTGTGCAATACATGTTTTTTTTGTGTGGGAGGCCAGCAAACTCAAAGGCTGTCCCCAGGCGCCATATAATCTAGCTATACCAGTGACTCACAGTTGCAGAGACAATGTCCACCTTCTGCCAAAGGTGGGTCAGAACTCACCCTGGTCCCAAACATCACTGTTAATATAGACCTGAATACCCACAATTTCTGGTTTCATTGCCACTGGACCTTTACTTCCAGGTTACCCAGTGTTGATCAAAGTGGATGCTGTTTAGAAGATCGAACTCAAAAAAACAGAAACTCCTTCCCTTCCTACGTGGGTGTCCAGAGTATCATACTCTGTGCTCAGTCAGTTATGTGCCATGCGTGATACATGCTTAGGTGATCATGTATCTTTTGATACGACTGATCCGAGCCACTATTACTCCACTGTGCCTCCTCAAAATAATCAGTCAGTCAATTATGTGCTATGTGTGATACATGCATAGGCAATCATGTATCTTTTGATACATGACTGACGAGGCAGGTTTTTTTTCCTGCAGTAGACCAGTTGCCATCCAAGGCTATAAAACCTAGTCTGTCCTGCTATTTACCCATAGCTGGGGGTAGAAGAGGATTTCCCAAGGGTATTAACATGTAAATGAATGTAATGGATTCAACTGGAATTTGAACTCAGCTCTTCGATTCCTCAATCTGAGCCACTATCCATTGCTTCACCATGCCTCCTCTGTTCTCTCATATACAAAAAGATAACAAATGTAGGAAATTTTGTTTCGCCTGTCTTACCTTTCCAGGTCGGGTAACTGCCAAAATGATTTTATTCAAATTGAATTCATCCCTTGTAAGCTCTTCCTCATCATCGTCATCATCATCGTCGTCTTCTTCAATTTCTATTTCTTCATCGTCATCTACGCTTGAGGTCGGCTGATGATGTCTGTGTCCTTTCATTCTTTGAATGATGTACTGAATCAGTGACTAAAAACAAAACAAAAAAAAAAAAAATATCAAAACACAAACTTTACACTCAAATACTGCTCAAACATCAAAAAATGCTTCTCCCCAAAAAGTTTTTTTTCTTTTTCATCTGTGCTACAATTTGTAACAGCTAAACTCATGAATAAACTTAAGGGGACTTGCTGTGGGGCAGTAGTTACCAAGCTTGTCTCACAATTTGCTAGTGTAGACGGTTCAATTCTCACTAGGTGCCCCAATCCTGAGGTCTTGTGCCAGACTAAGCTGGCCAAATAGCCATAAATATAAAATCCAAGGCAAAAATTTGCTTGGATTTTAAAACCCAAATCTACTGTTTCGTTATCATATTGACTTAACAGATTTTCAAGCTTTTATCCATTTTAGACATTCATTAAACATCATCCAATTACGTCTGGGGAGACGTGGGCGGGGACATGAACATATAAAAGATCTGGGAAAGGAAGTCAACCAATGACTTTGCTGCTTGAAAATTCTCATTTTACATATACAATCGTGGAACCTGTCATCTTGATTTTAGGAAGAATTAATTGAAACAAAACCAAAATTTGTTTTTATGATGGCATACACAATTTCTCTTCAAGGGGACATCAGGTCATAAAAAGTTAGAAATATGAAGAAATCATTTTTAAAAAAAAAAAAAAAAATTGCTGGAAATTTGTTAAATTAATTTTAATCCTTTAAAATAAGAAAAACAAAAAAAGGCAAATATTTTTGTTACCTTAACTTGTCCAACTTGGGAAGTCAGTCGATTCACAAACATTGTCAATACATCATCTGGAAATTGTTAAAAGATCAAATTATGGAATAAAAAATATTTGAATTTTAAAATCTTTTAATAATAAAACTAAAACTAACCAAGCAAAACTAAAAATGATTTTTACTCATAATGAACTCTGTAGAAATGCCTGAATGGTATGGAATGAATGGCTTCACTTGCTGTCTACTTTTCAATAAATGAACTCTACCAAAATAAAGTTAAGGAAACTAGAAGAAGAAGAAGAAAAAAAAAGAAACTAGAAGAAGAAGAAGAAAAAAAAAAAGGAAACTAGAAGAAGAAAAAAAAGGAAACAAAAAGAAGAAAAAAAGGAAACAAAAAGAAGAAAAAAAGGAAACTAGAAGAAGAAGAAGAAGAAAAAAAAGGAAACTAGAAGAAGAAGAAAAAAAAGGAAACTAGAAGAAGAAGAAGAAGAAAAAAAAGGAAACTAGAAGAAGAAGAAGAAAAAAAAAGAAACTAGAAAAAAAAAAGAAGAAAAAAGGAAAAGAAAAAAAAGGAAAAAAAAAAAAAGGAAAAAAAAGAAAAAAAACTAGAAAAGAAAAAAGGAAACTAGAAAAAAAAAAAAAAGAAAAGAAAAAAAAAAGGAAACCAAAAAGAAAAAAAGAAACAAAAAGAAGAAAAAAAGGGAAACAAAAAAAGAAAAGAAACAAAAAGAAAAAGAAAAGAAACAAAAAGAAAAAGAAAAGAAACAAAAAGAAAAAGAAAAGAAACAAAAAGAAAAAAAAGGAAAAAAAGAAAAAAAAAGAAACAAGAAGAAAAAAAAAGAAACAAAAACTGGCATCAATGGAGAGATGGGGTTAGAGAAAAGATGTAAATTTTTGTGATTAACAAAATAGAACTTTGCTTACTCTGCTGCGATCCAAATTCATCTTCAAACTTGGCCTGTGATTCAGATACTGGTAAATCAACCATTTCCACAGCCAAGATGTAGGCTAAGGCTTCTTCCCGACGCCATGCAATTCGGCCTGAAATAAATTTTTTAAAAAATCCTTAGAGATTCATGCCTGCCATAATGTGACAAAAAGTAGAGTTTCATGTAAATAATAGAGGAGTAATAGAGTTTACTTTCTGGTATGTTTAAATTCACAATTCATCTGCAAACATGAATGCATTTTTATTTGAACCAGGATTCTCATCTTAGTTGTCTTGATCCCAATATCCTAAACAGGAGAACCGTCCTCAGCTGGATGTCAAACTCTTTAACCTTGATACTTCTTAATCTTTATTGAGTTTGGAATATAATCCTTTATCGCATTCAAGAAAGTAATGTAGTTGCTAAGGATTGAACTTGCGACCTTTTCATCCCACAACCAATTTTTTATTCAATGATCTTTCATTTGGGATCTGCACAAATTCTTTTACAATGCATTCAAAAGTGAGTTAGTAAAAAAAAAAAAAAAAGTTCAAATTCAAATGGTAAAACCTAAGGAAAACAATGAACTCAATTAAACCCTTGCTATAACCTCTCATGAATATGGTCCTGTCATTAACAGGGAAGTCCAATGGTGATGACATTATACAAGTCTCCCACAATATACTCTGCTACATACAAATATCAAGACCAACAAAAAGGCATTGCATTCAGAAAACAAAAACTAATCAAAGTTTATTTCTTTATTTCCTATTCAAGGCAATAAAGCCTCAAAGACTGAGGGGATGACTGGGTGTGAAAGAATATGAATAAAAAACATTACAGGAGAGGATAATAAAAGAAGAAGAAGAAGAATGAAGGAATTTTTCAATTTTTGAAGATCAAAGTTGATTGCAAAGCAAGAGGCCAGCAAACTGTTATCATAGAACTTACGGTTACATCTAGCCATTTTAACTGTAAAATGTTGAGACTTAGCTACCAATCTAGTACTGCGCTTAAATTCATAAAGTTGATGTACTGAAGAAGAAAGCTCATCAGAACAATTATGAAAACATTTATGTACAAGCACACAAGCTATGTTACAACAGAGGGAAAGTGACCGAAACCGAGATGCCAGGTCAGGACTGATAACATTGCTGATTCTTTGGATTTTTATCAAGAATATCTAAACACATAGCAGAAGCACCAGACCAGAAATGGCAGCCATATTTAATGCATGGACGAATGGTAGACTTATAGATGTGTAAGATAGATTCTGACAAGAAAAATTGTCTAGCATGACACAGTAAACAAACTTGTTTCTGTTTTAAAATATGGCAAGGGTGTGATGAGGTTGAGGGAAACTAACTGATTGCTCTCCCTAGAACAATAGGGTAAGAGGTAAAAAAGGCAAAGAGACAAGAGGAAACAAAACAACACTGTCTCAGAAACTGCAGAATGTAATTTGCGGAACAAACTGACTAAGGGAACAACTTCACAAGACAGCATGTCTCGCTAACTGCCCACTGCTGAATGCTGTTGGTTTTATTGACACTAGACAGAAACCCGGATCTAGACAAGTTGCAGAGAGGCCCATATCTGGACATGCCAAGCTGTTCTGCTGCTAATAGTAAAGCCTGAATGTAACTGGTTTTGACAGACATGTTAAAAAGCCACAATCCAAAAGAAAAATTAGTTAAAAATTAATAATAAAAATCATTTTATTAATATCTGGTTGATTTATGTCATTTATTTAATACTTGAATTTTTTTTTTATATTCTAATCTTTTTATGTGCCATATCCCTTCAGAATGTTGGCAATCATGGCTCTCCACAATTTCCTATCCTTTGTAGTTCTTAACAAATTTTATCTTTTTGTTATTTCTCTTAAATATTTCTTCCATCATCTATTTCCACAAGGCCATTCTTTTATGTGCCATGTACATTCTGGATAGAGACAATCATGGTTCTCCACAAATTTCCTATCCTTTGTAGCTCTTAATAAATTTAATCTTTTTGCTATCTCTCCTGTCATCCATTCACTCAAGCTTGCCAGATAGATAAGCATTGTTTTCCTTTGCCCCTCTTGCTTACAACCCGTCCTGTGAGTATCAAATTTTCCAAGACCTTTTTCCTCATGTGACATTAGATTTTTCAATTTTTTGAAGTATAAGTGTCCTTTTGTTTCCATCGTCTCTAAAACTCTGTTGTTGCTCACTAACACATTTTTTGTTTTTAAAACAAACAGAAGAAACAAGGTGATGGTTGAGCGATTGAATCTTTTTTTTTTTTTTGCAATAATTTAACCTTTTCTATAAAAAGGTTTTTATATTATCACCAGCAAAACAAAATACAGAAGTAAAAGAACTCACCTGCTTTGTGTACCAAATGCAAAGTATAATCTTCTGAACGGATAATGGCTTTGTAACCAATGTGGCCATCCTTTTTGGTGAACAACAGAGCATCACACTAATTAGGAAAAAAAATAAAAATAAAAAATGTTAATTAAAAAAAAAAGATTAGATTAGAATTTTTAAAAATGAAAAAACATTCTTGAAGCTTTCTTTTTAGCTTTAATTGAAAGCTAAATGCTTAAATTTACTATTTCCAGTAAGCAAAACACTCTGGAGTATTTCAGATAGTAATTATATTGATTGAAATCTCATTTCACAAAAATCAGACATTTTTGACACATTTGTAAACAAAAGTTAATTCTTGGTTTTAAAAAAATCTTCAAAAAATAAAATATACTTTGCTGAAAGTATAATTAAATTAAGTTGAAAAAACATTTACTTTAAGTTTAAAATAACAGAGAAATGGATTTTTAAAACAACTGGAGACGGCAATTACACGCTTATCATTGTTGCTTGTCACCTGTCGATCACTTGACAAGCAATGATAAAATCTATCAACAGTTTTACTGTTGTTCTAAGGAGACTTTTATCTGTTAAAATATAATTTAAGAAAATGATGGATGAACGTTCTTTTATATAATTTTTAAGTACTTAGTAATCTTAAAAATGTTGGAAAATATTCTCCGTAATCTAATTTTAGGAATGATGAATTTAAATTTATTATAGTCATTGCTCTTATTTTCTGATTATGTTGTGTATGGTCAATCATACTTTCAAATGGGCAAGTTATGTAATATTTTATATACTTAAAAAAAATAAAACTTTAAAAAAATATTGGGTGTAAATGACTTTTATTGAGCTTTTCAATTTTTGCTTTGTAAATATAGTTTTTACTTAGTAAAACTTTGTAAATATAGTTTTTACTTAGTATATTACCCAACCAGAGTGAAGTAATGCAGAATTTTAAACAATTTGTAATATTATAAATTATAAAATGAAAACAATTCTTGTAAAAATTCATTATTCATGGAAAAAATTTTTTTCCCTAAGACAATAGTGTCCTTAATAAATTTTATTTATAAAACCAATTAAAAGCTTTTTTAATTAAATAATGTCATATTTTTATTTCATTTTTTATTTTAAGGTTCAGAGCAGATTTTCAGAAAATGGATAGTAGTTTGAAAAAAAAAAAAAAAAAAAAATAATAATTGATGATTTAAATGCTCCTAGGAGTCCTGCTTTCAACTAATAAAACAAATTTTGAGACTGCTATTTAATTTCTCAAAATTTCATGAAGTGGTGGTGGTGGTGGTAGGGGAACATATGTAAAAAAAAATTTCAAAATAATTTCATACATTTGTGAATAAGTCCTGAAAGTTACATTAAAATCTGACAATTATTTGATTTTTGCAATAATTTCCAAATCAATGTTTTTTTACTGGAAAAAAAGTTAAAAAGACACTAATTGTAAATTAATGTTGACCATTAATGTTTGAACATGCTAGAAAGGATTAAAAAATTTGATAAAATAATAAAAATAATTTGGTCTTTCCTCTTAATAACAATATTTTGAGGCTAAAACTTTATTATTATTAAGTTTGGGACATTTTTTCATCATGCTATGCTGTTTTTCAGCAAAAAAGTGGAGTTACCTATATTAAATATCAACACAAAAATCTTTATAAATAACTAGATATTTAATTGTTATCATGGATAGAAAATTTAAATGCTGACCATATATTGAAAATCAGAAATACAAAAAGACTATCAGTGTTTTAGAAAGTATTTAGTGTAGCAAATCAATTACCCGGAGTGGCTGGCCATAAGATTTTGAGTAAGTGATTTTATGAGACAAGTCTTTCAAAGATGACCCAGTGGAAATATCAACACCAGACATCTTCACAATCTACAAGAAGAAATAAAATACACATGAAAATTAGAGATTTTTATGAATCATGTACATTTGTTGATGTTATGCAGGTGCTACTAATCAACTCAAAGACTCAAATGGGTACTAAGTCAGTTTTCAAACTCTGTCGTCTAATGGGCAACAAACCAATATATAGTTTTATTTGCTATTGTAAATCTAGCTAATGTGCTGATATAACTGGCTGTAGTTTATAAAGTGTAGGATTCACATTGCTTTGTGATTTAGTTCAATTAAAATCTGGCAGAAATAATATTCAAAATAAGTTTCAATAAAAGACGACAAACATTATTTACAAGTAAGAAAAAATGTTATGAAAAATCACAATTGCAATTTGGGTTTTTTGCTCCATGGCCGTTTTGAATAATTTTGTTTATATCGACAGAAAACCAGGAACTGTCTAAGACAAAAAAAAAAAATTGATCAATTACAATAATCGTTGAATTTCTTTATTACGAAAATAGGGTAATATTTTTCACCATTCAAAATCTGGCATTTCATGTGATGTGAGATTTCACGTCTCTAAGTGGTTATAACAACAAATGATATGAGAGAGAGAGAAAGCAGAAATAAAGAAAAACAGAACAGTCAAGTGTGTAAGAATGTGTTAGATAGAGAGATAGATAATGAGAGAGAGAGAGAGAAAGTTAGAAACAGAAAGCAATTCTTACCTCAGTATCTATAGATTCCAGGGTGAAAAGCACCTGTTTGTCCCCATGTCGTGTCATTTGGGCACTCAGGAGCTAAACAAACAATAAATCAATGTTGAAAAACATTCTGTTTAAACTCAATAGAAATTGTTTCAGTTTCTTTAAATGGTATTTCTCTCTCATTAACTGACAAAGTTAAAAACTGCAAGATAGATTTGAATTAAAAGATTATTTTAATATTTATGTTCAAGAAGACATTAAATGACACGCACATCAAATTTTGTTTTAATGTAAAAAAAACAAAAAACTTTCTAAAAATTATCATTCTTATTCAGTTAAAAAAAAATACCAGCAGTCATATTTGTTAAAAATTTATTTGCTGCGTGACAAGATGATATGATACAAGATGTCAAAGTCATTGGCTTTATCTTGTATGCAAGAATTTAATTTCTTCTTTGCTAATCGATTTCTTTATGATGATGATGATGATGACATTGAGGACTAAATTTGCAACCAACATTCAAGTTCAGGACTAGAATCTTCCAGTTTCTCCAGAACCTGCTCCCACCATCCATTCCCTATTGCCATTTGGCTTTGTAAGATTTACTTGGAGGTGAAAGAAAATCAGAGTAGAAGAAAGTGCCAATGGCATGAATTTGTTTATGGTGGACCTCAACTTGCCAGGAAATGACCCACACACTTGATTTCATTACTATCCTCTGTGGCATATATATAATGAAACCTGTAGAATTATTATGAAACTACAATGGACTGCTGCTGACACTGTTATGATTTCTAGTGGGACCTTCTGTAGCATGTCATGTGTACCCTCTTCATCTACTTGTTTAACTATTAAGATTTATTATAATCATCATCTGCTTGTCCCACACTTGAGGCCTTGGGGTCGGTTGCACTTAGTCTGGGTCCTTGAGTTTGACCTTACTGCTAAGGGTGGCTCTAGTTTAGAAGTCTTGATGGCATTGCTCACAGAATCATTGGATCACACAAGCCCCTCCATTACAACAAGGAGTGAACATCAGAGGTATATATATAGACCCGCATATATTTTACACTGGATGCTGGAGTAAATGGTTCATAATCAAATGTTGTTTTAATGAAAATAATAGAAAATAAAACAATAAATATGATGTAAAAGTAATAAGCATGTAATTTTGTGTTTTAATAGAATAACTAACAGAAAGGTCAAACTGGTAAAGGTCATCAAGTAAGTGAAATATTAGCACATTACACAAATGTGTGTAAAAATACACAAAGAAAATTTGAAATCTATTGTACACACAGAACTACAAATAATTTTACAGAGAATTTGTTTTATTGCTTTTGCTGATGCAATCATTTATGGTTTGAAAAGGAGGAATAATTAGAATGAATTTAATTCCCAGAATTGTTCAAGACTGTTTAACCCATTACAGGCCAGTGTCTCCCAAAATGAGGAAGTAGCCATTAATAGGTTAATATCCTTTGTGTTTCTTTTGTTGTTACCAATATTTCAGCCACTCCATTCTACAGCCTTCTTCAGACATATGGAGGGAGGGAAGAAGGTAAGAATAAAAGCAACTAAAAACAAAATGACGTCAATTCTGCAAACAACATTTTAACAGACTTTTCTCAAAATTACAAAATTGAAAATTAAATTGTGTAAATGGGAAACGATAATATTTTCTTCTTCACATATCGAGGTTTTGTAATCCACAATTAAATTCTAAAAATTTAGTGAAAGCATTTAAAAACCGCCAGGGGATTTATATATTTTCTGCAAATATCTGCAAGTATAACACCCCTGAAAACCAGATGATGAGATTATCCTGTAAAAAATATCTTTGTCAGGAGTAACAGTAAAATGAAAACTCTCGTCTCAAGTGAATAAATGAGAAGAGGTTTGGTTTGGTTTGTGTTATGGTATATCAACCTAAATGGGTTATTTAATGCCGACAAAAAAATTATATTGCTGGTAATATTTTTTTTCTTCAAAAATGTATCGCTGGTAATAATTTTTACAAAGTATTTCTGGTATCAAAACCCACTTTTACTCCTTTACAGCGCTCTGACCCCAGTTTGGGCATTAATTATTTGCCCATAGCTGGGACCCCAACAGGTGCCACCCACCCCGGGTCAAGGTGGACCAAGGAACACCAGCAATTAAGAGGTGGTTCCATGCTCCTCAAAAGCTCCTGGTCAGAGGCCTTGCTGTTAGATGTAGTTTATTGTCTTACCCAGGACGCAGATGTAGTTTATCGCCATACCCAGGATGGAAATGAGAAAAGGTTGTAGGAGTAGGGAAGGGTGGTGTTGTAGAGAAGCATAAGTTTTTCTTACTCTGGGTGATGTGTTCACTGTTGTAACCAATCCATTAGATCCAACTTTTAACAATCCAATAAATCCAGACTGAAGACGACACACAAATATGCCAGACTTCACACTGCTAATTTCATGGCCTGCTTTTTCCAAGGCAATAACAGAGTCTTTAATACTAACATCCTGAAATCAAAAGGGAAATATTTGAGAAATTTATATTCAGTACTAAATGTGTCACTTTATGTGTCATTGTATTTACATTTGAGGTAAAAAAAGAAAAAAAAAAAAAAAGAAGCTCACTGTGTCAAACAATTCCAATAAAATAATAGACAAAAAAATCATCTGAGTATATAATTGTGCTTGTCCCTCCCTTTGTTAGTTTGCACGACCATTATGGCCTGCCAATACATCATTAATAATAGACTATTTGTTCTGATCACATGGAAAGAGGGGAAAAGACACTACTTGGTTTCAGTGAGAAAATGAAAGAAAGGGAAGGTAGAAGTGGAAAGAAAGAATCAGATTAAGCTGATAAGAACAGATGCTACTCTTTGATCTTATCAAAGGCTGAGAAATGATGGCAGCTGTGATAAAGGCACCATTTTTCAGACATAGTATCAATTGTCAAAAATCCAGATACCATAAATAAAATAACATGGTCTGTTGAATTATTTTAAAATTATTATTAAGAGAAATGTTTGTAAGATGGAGAATTTGGTTAGTAACATTAATTTTTTTTTATTTTTCCATACCAATATTCACCCAATAAAAGGCCCAAGAGCCACTCAAGGTAGAGGGTTACTGTATGGTTTTGTATGAGTGTTACTAATCAAATTCAAAAGGAACAAGAATGATTCATCTTTATGCATGTGGACTAGAGGGTCTAAGCTGCAATGGTGAGAGACGATAGAAGCAGAGAATGTAGTTCATCAGAACACTTGCCATGGAATTAGTGATAGAGTAGTGAGAAGTGGGAGAGAGATTGTAGGGTGTGTTTGGAAAATAAAACATTACTATAACTCTAGATACAGACATCAAATGATCCATACATTCAGTTAGAAGTAAATATAAAATCATCCTTGATAATGGCTAAAAGTATAGCCAAAAACATTCAATTTCTACATAATTTATATCCAGAAAGAAGAAAATTATAAGAACACAAGAAAAATTAAATAAAACCTTAACCATAGTACCTCATAAGTCGCTTTTAATGACACTTTTATATATATATATATATATATATATATATATATATATATATATATTCACACACACATGGTATAAGATGACAATTGGAAAAAATCTTAATTTTTTTGTCGACACATTTCATCTTCCAACTTTTTCAAGGCAAAAATGAAATCAAAATCTTTTTTTTTGTTATCATTACATTACAAAATCCAAATTTAAAAAAGAGTGATGCTTCTGTATAAACCCCTTTCTGGTTAATCCAAATTTCCTTTATACTAAGAGTTCTTTTCTTTTTTTTTTTATGTCAACAATATAGTCAAATTCCTAGAATTACATACACATCAAAGAATTCAGTAATAAATTTATTTGGATAGATAAGATTTTAACATCTGTCCCATCTGACTGAAATTACAAAATGTTCTAAATTTATCCAGACAATATATTACATTACAAGAGAACAGGAAGTAAATGTCTAAATTACTTGACCTAGAAAAATTTCCTAGGGGATTTAAATTATTGAAGAGAGGAGTGAGAGGAAAAGAAAGAGGAGAAGCAAAGTGTCAGCACAATGTACAGAGGTAGGAGGAGGGGGTAGATTGCCCTGTATATAAATACATTGACCTCTTTTCATGGATCTCTCTTTTAAAAATTTTATATTAAAAAGACCTACTTGGATTATCCTCACCACTTACAGATATTTTATATATATATATATATATATATATAAAAAACAATGTATAATTTTATATATGAACCAACAGTATTTAGAAAAGTAGTATAACAAATTGGAAAAAAGAATTTTCAACCCTCAATATTTACACGAAGAGAGATATATTGAAAATACTTTCAAAAACCTTCAATATCTTAACTATTTCATATTCAATATGAAACAAAAAGCTCATAAAATATTCCAAAATAGAAAAGCTGCTCTTCCTGACAAACCCAACAAATTAAAAAAAATATATTATTCTACCTACTAACTATCACAACTACAACCAAAAAGAATTTATTGAAACTAAAGATATAATTTGTCACAATTACATTGAAAACAATCAAAGACTTAATCAATAAAAAACAAGCCAAAACTTGAAAGAGGAATTTACTCTATCAACTGCAGGAATTGCCAGAAATAATACATTGGAGAAACCTCAAGTAGTTTAAACAGAAGACTATATGAACACAAAAGGGGTATTTTAAAAAACAACATCCAAAACGCATTGGTTGTTCACCGTAATGAAACTGACCCCAATTTTGACATAGGGAAAGCTACTTTGATTAAAAGAGAAAATGTCTGGAAATGTTAATCATTAGTTCAGGCATGATAAATTTGCATCAAGGCTCTTACAATATATCACCATTCTTGGTAGATTTTTGTCATCACAATCTGGGATTGTCAGTGATGGAGAGAAAAAAGATAAAAAAAAAAAAAAAAGAAAAAAGGTGATGGAGAGAGAAAAAGAATACAGAGGAATTTGGCTCAATTGAAGAAACATTCTTTCAAAAATTTTGAAACTACCAGTGTCTCTCATTTCATGTGTATATATGGCAACATCAACAAAGCCCAGTCGAATGAAATTCTAACAAATAATATGCATCACAAAAACTTTTTTTACAATTTGTCTTACTATATATATATATATATATATATTACCAATTTGTGACTGGTAAGGATAATTTCAAAGAGGATATTAATCCAGAGAGAGCTCAATGCAGACTACAGAGAATATAATAATAATAAAGAAGAAAACCTTAAAGATTCATTTTGGTTATAATTTATTTTGTGAATATCTAAATATTCATCTCTTCAGACCAAAATCTCTTAGTAAATGGAGACAATACCTCAGACTGATATATTAGATTGACAGGGGGAAGGGGAAGAAGAAAAGTGATGGATGGTTAGGTTTTTTTAAAAAGTGAGATAGAGGGTATGGAAAGGAAAGGGAAAAAGGAAGTAATGAATGAATAGTAGTAAGCCTAAAAAGACTGACCCAAGCAAGAATTTTTCCCTTAAAGTATGGGGTTATACAGCAAATTGACTGAAATGGTCCATTATTTTAGGCCAGACAAATCAACCAAATTCCAAATTAGTCTAAATTAGTTTTGGTGACCAGTTTCACTATGACAATGTAATTTTTTTTTTCTGGAGGGGTTAAAATTTGTGGCAAAAAATTCAGGGGGTGCACTATACCTGAAATTGGCTTATACATGACTATATATGGTAATACTTTAGAGAACCAGATAAAAGAAAAAAGAACATATCAATTACATGCAAAATTATTCAGATGCTGATTTGAGTGCTGCATATGTTAATACCGATTCTCAAAGTGATAAACAATAAAATATTAGTTTTTTTATTCAATAAATCATCTAAAGTTGGACTAAGGGTAAAGAGCAACGCAAATGAAATTGACAAACACAGTTCAAATTATAGCTGAGATAATTCATACACACATGGAACTAATGTTGTTGGGAAAGACATAAACCCATTCTCTATTCCTACCAATAGATCAGATCAGAGTATCATATAATGATCTGTGGAGAAATTCTTTCAAGATTTTGCATAGCAGTTGCCACTGAAGACGGCACAGTGTTGCAAATGGCAGGAGACGGCACGACGTGGCAAATGGCAGGAGACAGTACAGTGTTCCTTAAAGCAATTTACAAGATTTATGGTAAATCACTTCACTAGCATAACATTTGAAAGGAGATGGGTGTTGCCAAGTAATTCCCATATGGTTTGTCACACAAATGGCTGTCACCACTGCTGAAACAGTAAGTGTCAAAGAATGCCAATGAGTGACATTCTTTCCCTGTATGGAAAAAATTCAGATATATGTCTACTTTGTAAACATTTTTTTGTCAGACCGCTATCTGTAACAGGGAAAAAAAAAAAAAAAAAATTTATGGGGTTACTTGCAGAAATGTCCAACTTCTACAGCCATAAGAAGTTGTTCCATTATTTACAATGTAGTATAACCAGGTTGCTAATTACTTGATTAAAGGAAAGTCTTTTGTTGTAAACAGAGAAACAGAAAAACTGGCATTGTTCATTATTTCAGATTTAACATTTTCTAAAAATACAAAGAATATTTACACAATTACTGCCATTAAAATGAACGTTTTTTCCTTTTTCCTGCCTAAAGGAACCATTTTGAAATCATTCTTTTTTGATGTCTATAAGTGACAACAACAACAACACAAAGATCATTACTTACTGTTAATAAAGTAGGAATGAATGTGTCTCCTCCAAGCAATACAAGAGTTTGGATACTCATCGATGTCGAATCATGGCAGACTAAATTATCAGAGGTAATCAAACAGCTAAAAAAAAAAAAAAAAAGAGAGACATTAAGAAATAAATGATACTGCAATTAAAACATGTTCAAAAGTGATGTGGGTGTGTGCATGAGAGAATGAGAGTGCATGCATGTGCGAGTGTGAGAATGTATGTGTGTGAGAGGGTGTGAGTGAGGGTAAGTGGGTGTGAATGAGTGATAGAGTGTGTGTGTGTGTGTGTGTGTGTGTGTGGATGAGAGTGTGGGTGAGAGAGAGAGAGGGCGTGTGTGTGTGTGAGAGAGAGAGAGGGTGTGTGTGAGAGAGAGAGAGAGGGAGTGGGGGGAGGGGGGGGGTGAGAGGGGGTGTATGTGTGGAGTGAAAGTGTGTATGTGTGAGTGTGTGTGAGGTGTGTGTGTGTGCGAGGTGTGTGAGAGTGTGTGTGTGTGTGAGAGAGAGGTGGGTGGGGTGTGTGCAGAGAGAGGGAGGGTGTGAGAGAGAGAGGGTGTGTGAGAGAGAGAGGGTGGTGTGTGTGCACACGAGAGAGAGAGGGTGTGTGTGTGCACGAGAGAGAGAGGGTGTGTGTGCACGAGAGAGAGAGAGGGTGTGTGCAAGTGTGAGAGTGAGAGGGTGTGTGCAAGTGTGAGAGTGAGAGGGTGTGTGTGTGTGTGCGAGAGAGAGAGGGTATGTGTGTGCACGAGAGAGAGAGGTTGTGCACATATAAATACAGAAAAAAAATCTGCTCCTTCTTCACTGCCTTTTTCTTTTGCCACTCATATGGACAGAAAATACAATTGTTGTAAATTACATATTTGTGAAAATTGCTTATAGCTACATGTGTTTATACAACAGATTCATAAATCATCAGAAATGAAGACAAATCAGTTAAACAAACGCACCTCAGCTGAAAAAGAGTCTCTAATAAACTCTGTTTATTATAGAAATCTCATGACACTGCCTCATAATTTTATAAAACACTCAAACTACAAAATGTCCTTTGCCAATATTCCAATCACAGATGGATTGATTTGTTTTTTATGGCTTACCAACCCTTATTTAAAGCCAAAACATTTTTTCAGCTTGGAGGAGATTGTTTACAGTACCTGGTGTTTCCCCATTTAAATACAGACTGCATTTGATGTTGCTTAACTTCAGTGATTGAACAAAAAACAGTGTTTTCAGTGTGATTTGACCATAATGCTTTCCATTCATGGAAAGATTTCTGGTTTTAGTATTCTGTAATTTGTCAAAACCAATTCCAAGAATAAATCACACTGTAATAGAAAAAGACCAGATAACGCTGTCGTGTAACAATAAGACTAGATATTAGAGTGAAATAACTAAATTGTTCATTTCATTCAAACTGCTCAGAGGACACATTATCTGTTATTCATTTTTGACTTTCATTTCTTTCATCTTTTACTTGTTTACACAATATAGTGATAGAATAAGTCATTTCTGAAATGAAGCAGTACATTATATATATATATATATATATATATATATATATATATTGTCACGTAGCAACGATTTCATTAACCATAGGCGTTAGGCTAAAGTAAAATCTTAAATAAAGAGAAAATTAGTTAGATATAAAAGAAAGATAAATAAATAGATAAAAACAGAAATTTAATCAATGCTTCCGATTCATGAGCTTAATATATTCTATGATCAATATACCCCCCCTCTCTTCACAAATTCTTTCTCTCCTTATCCTCTCTTCCACCCGCCAGCCAAGGGCCCGTGAACTTAGAAGTGACCCGACAGGATGACCTGGTTCTAAGATTTCGCGTTTGACCATGAGTAAACTCCAGACACCATCAGGGTCTCATGCTGCGATTCACGTGATCGGGACGTACAGACATGCGTTGAACTTTTGGCCATCACACAAACACTGCGTGATTTGGCGCCCTATTCTCCTGCGTAAGGACGAAGGAACCCACGTGACTGTCTGTGGGGACAGCGAAAACCAAAGAAGGATTTTTCAGTTTCCCTCTGACCAGCGGCAGTTGAACATCGCTGGGCAAAAATCGTCAGACCGCCCACTGAGATGAGGAAGACCATTCTATCGACCAGTGATTGAACACTTGCGAAAAAAGAAGAAGAATCCAGGAACATTGTCGGTCAAGATACTGATTTATCATCAGAACTCTCGCCCGGCGAATCAAAACTTTAATGAGATACCAGCCCGACTGCAAGATAAGTTGGTTCTTTTGGCTCGATCTATTTTCATATATGTATGTATTAACACGCGCCTTCTATTCTTTACTGATGTCCTCCCCTTTGTTAAATGAATGTTCTTTTTTTTTTTTCTTTGTTTAACTATATATATTTATAAATAAATGTTTAATTTTGAAAGCCATCGTCTTGTGTCTGTTCTTCGTTGATTCCCTTGTGTCGCTTCCATTTCTGAGTGAAGACCGAAAAAGAAACCACGTTTTTTTTTTTTTTAGAACCCGTGGTTCATCTATATGCTTTAAGTAACATATAAAATTGGGGGCTCGTTCGAGAATCTTTTCTCCCTGTTTTTTCACTCAGTAAGAATTGCACAACTTCAGGGTATCGGCCAACTACAGGCCAAGATGTCGGGTTATAGATAGTTTTCTCATTCTATGGAAAAATTATGTAAGCTTAAGAAGGATGATATAGTTGAAATAGGAAGGAATTAGAACTAGAGGTAACGAAGTCTATGATCAGCTAGTCAGGATAGTCTGTGAGCATATGGTAGAATAATAACGTTTTAGAAGAAAATTAAGTAAATTATCACTAGACACGTGCCTTTAACTTCATGAGGCACAACTCGAGCTCGAGAAAGTGAAAATTGAGGCCGAGGCTAAGGTCAGAGCCGAAGCTGAAAGAGCAAAGGCTGAAATAGCAAAGCTAGAATCGAAAGCAAGAAACTAGATTTGGGAGTTAGACAGCAAAGAACCACTTTTTAGTGAGTTCGACTTAGCCGAGAAACAAGTCCCGACTGCATCGCCAGTTTAACGAGGAGGCTGATGTCGCACAAATATTTTCAGCATTTGAAAGGTCGCCTCAAACCTAGCATGGCCCATAGAAACGTGGCCAATTTTACTGCAGACCGCACTAAAAGGCAAAGCTCAAATATGCCGCGCTCTCAGAGCAGATTGCTATAGCATTGTGAAATCGGCCATTTTAAAGTCGTATGAGCTTGTGCCGAGGCATACCGGCAAAAATTTAGAGCCTGCCGAAAGGGAGACAAACAGACTTATGTAGAATTCTCTAGACAAAAGAAACCTATTTCGATAGATGGAGTTTATCGAAAAACATCGAGTCAGATCACGATAGGCTAAGGCAAATGATACTGATAGAGGAGTTCAAAGAATGTGTCCCTGATAATTTGAAAACCTACCTCGATGAAAAAAAGGGTAGATACTTTATATGAGGTGGCCACCCTTACGGCGTTAACACATAAGCGGGTGCGTTCAATCATAACAACCCATCCGAATTTGGAAGCGGTCCACACCCAAGACGTGGATCTGGTTCTGGTCCCAATTGAAGTTTGGTCGATCGGTTAGTTCAGGCCAACTCCCCAGTCCGAGAGATACCAAATCTCAAAATCCTAGTTCTCCGTCACCGGTTTATCGGCAGACGAATAGGAGAGAGGGAAACTCCCGATGTGCCACTACTGCAATAAAGTAGGACACCTCGTGTCGAATTGTTGGAAAGCGAATGCGAGTCCAGAGCCCTAAGTCAAGAGAGACCCCCAATTTCTTCCAAGCGTTACCCTAAATAGGAAACCGAATGAAGATGTGAGGGAGGAATAGGCCATTTGTGTCTAATGGTGCTGTATCCCCGTTGATAACCCCACGAAGAAGAAATCCGTTCTTGCGGGACACTGGGGCCCTCAGTCCCCTGATTGTGGAGAGCTTCGTGCCGTGTGGATCGGATTCGCCACTGGCTGAATTTGTTATCATACAGGGTGTTAACAGCAACTTTGTTAGCGTTCCCCATCAATCCACCTCACGTCTGGGTTAGTTTCTGGCCCTGTCGAGGTCGGAGTAGTTCCTAGTTTTTTTGAAAGGCATATCCATGCTGTTAGGGAAACGAATTGGCGGGTGGTAGGGTGATACCCCACCCTAAAGTAGTTCCGAACCGGTTGCTTCGGGTAGACACCGAAGATATCGAGAAGAGAATCGATATATTTCCCTCGTGTGCAGTGACCAGAGCACAGGCCAGAAAGAAGGCCGATGAAAAGATAAACAGATAATCGATGGGACAGAAGACGAAGTGATAGACCTATCGAGACGTTTATAAATCCTGATGTGGGATTAAATTATCCTCCCGATAGTAACCCAACTGGAAATAGCGATGGTATTGTTGAGCCGCTATGGACATTCCATTATCGAGGAGAGCACTTATAACAGAGCAGGGGAGTGATTCTGAGCTCACCCCACTCTTCCGTCACGTTTGCCCGGATGAGTTGGAGAAAGTTCCAACTGGATACTTTATTAAGAATGAGATACTAATGAGGAAGTGGATCCGCCTCAGAAGACTGGTTCACAGTCCACCAAATAGTACTCCCTAAACGGTACAGACCGGAGGTCATGAGGACAGCTCATGAGATCCCATTGGGGGTCACCTTTAAGTACGTTAACAAGGCAATAAGATCGTCAGATACTTTTTACTGGCCGGGTATCCAAGGGACGTGTCTGAGCATTGCGGACTTGCCACATCTGCCAGGTTGTAGGAAGCCAACCAGAAAATCCCCATCGCACCCTACATCCCATTCCTGCCTCGAGGAGCCATTTTGTCGCATTATCGTAGACTGTGTTGGTCCGTTACCCAAAACTAAGTTAGGGAACCAATACCTGCTAACGATCATGTGCGCCTCGACCAGGTTTCCCGGCCATACCCATGAGAAATCTATCCGCCAGGAAAATAGTAAAGGCCCTTGTTAGCTTTTTTCACCATGGTCGGCTTACCCAGGGTGATACATCAGACCAGGATCCAACTTCATGTCAGGGGTGTTTCAACAAGTTACGAGAAGTTTGGGTATAAAATCCATTAAGTCAAGCGCCTATCACCCCCAGTCCCAAGGTGCCTTGGAGAGGTTCCCTCCACCTTGAAGAGCATGATGAGAACATATTGCCTGGACCACCAACACGATTGGGGACGAAGGTATCCCATTCCTAATGTTCGCCCTTGAATCCATCAGGAATCGTTGGTTCAGCCCATTTGAATTAATATTTGGGCATTCAGTCCATGGTCCTTTAAAGGTACTGAGGGAAGGTTTGTTCTTGGGAAGACCCAGTAACAGAAAATTTGCTGGAATATGTTTCACGTTTCCCAACCCGACTAGCAGAAGCATGTGAACTGGCCCGCGAGAACCTCCGGTCGGTTCAGCATAAAATGAAAGATCGATACGACCGAGACACAGTCGAATCGAAATTTCAGTGTCAGGGATAAAGTACTAGTGTTATTACCCTTGCCCGGACATCCTCTCAAAGCTCGATTCCATGGCCCGTATGAAGTGGTCAGGAAGGCGGTGACCTCAACTTCGTCGTAAGAACCCCTGATCGCAGGGAACTCGGCGCAGGTGTGTCACATTAACATGCTTAAGCCTTACTATGAACGGGAAAGACCGACCCTGTGTTAGTAATCAGTGGGCCCTAACACTATGCCCGAGCCCACGGAGATCCGTTATAAGTTATGGAAAGGGTGACCACCCCACCAAACTTTACAACTCTGAGGTACTAGCTGACCTAAGTCTTGCTGTCGCATTTAGCCCTTGAGGAGAGGAAGGATTTAGCCTCCTTATATTTCAGGGGCCTGTTCCCTGACGTATGTGATGTGGAAGTAGGGAGATGCCACCCCATTAAACAGCATCCCTACCGAGTCAACCCAATGGAAAGCCTGGAGAAATAGCCTACATGCTAGAGAAATTTATCGGCGTAGCCAAAACAGTTGGTCCTCCCCTGCGTGCTAGTGGACAAACCTGACGGCTCAGTTCGGTTTTACCCGAAAAAGGTGAACTTCGTCACTAAAAGGCGGACTCGTACCCCCATTCCCAGGATGGACGACTGTATTGATAAAGTAGGCAAGGCTACTTATATTCTGGCTGGATTTGTTGAAGGGTTATTGGTGTGTGCCCCTAACGAGCGTTTAAGGAGATATCTGCTTTTCGCGACTCGGATGGCCTGTATCAATACCCGCGTGATGCCTTTTGGGATGAAAATTCCCAGGCCACCTTCCAGCGAATGATGAACCATTGCCTGCGAGATCTGGCTGGTGTAGAGACGTACGCCGATGACATAACAATAACACCTGGGCGAAAAAAAAAAGTCTTCGATCGGTTAAAACATGCCAATCTCACCATTAACCTTGCGAAAAGTGATTTCTGCCAGGCAGAAGTGGCGTATCTCGGACATGTTGTGGGCCATGGGCGGATAACTCGATCGAGGCAAAATACAAAGTATAGTTAAGTACCCAGCCCGACCAATGTAAAAAAGGCCTGAGGAGATTTCTCGGAATGACGGGTTACTATCGCAAGTTCTGTAAAAATTTCTCTGATATAGCCTCACCGCTTACCCAACTGTTGAGGAGGAAAGCCAAATTTGATTGGACACCCGACTGTCAGAGATCCTTTGATCAAATAAAAGCCCTATTGTGCTCAAACCCTGTCCTCAAAGCTCCTGAATTTACCCGACCGTTCAGGTTAGCTGTAGATACAAGTGACCATGGCATTGGCGCAGTATTACTACAGACCGATGCAAATGGTATCGACACCAGTCAGTTATTTCTCAAAAAAATTCAACAATCACCAGAAAAATTATCTACAGTAGAAAAAACTCTTGCCCTTTTGTTAAGTTTACAACAATGTATGTGTCTTCGTCCAGTCAGCCTACTTTAGTATATACTGACCATAACCCACTAACCTTCCTCAGGAAAATGAAGAATACGAACAGGCGACTACTGTGCTGGAGTTTAGCGTTACAAGAATACGATCTAACTATTCAGCACATAAATAAACGCCCTGTCCCGTATCTGATCGATAAGCCTTTGAGGATCAAAAAGGGGACGAAAACAATCTCTTTTCTTTTTTTTGAAAACTGCCGTTAATGGCATTTTTCTTTTTTGGTAGGGAGGTGTCCGCGTATTTAGGCGTTAGGCTAAAGTAAAATCTTAAATAAAAGAAAATTAGTTAGATATAAAAGAAAGATAAATAAATAGATAAAAACAGAAATTTAATCCAATGCTTCCGATTAGCGGCGGAATATATTCTATGATCAGCCATACCCCCCTCTTCTTCACAAATTCTTTCTCTCCTTATCCTCTCTTCCACCCGCCAGCCAAGGGCCCGTGAACTTAAAGTGACCCGGCGTGAGGATGACCTGGTTCTAAGATTTAGCGTTTGACCATGAGTAAACTCCAGACACCATCAGGGTCTCATGCTGCGATTCACGTGAACGTCTGGCAGACATCGTTGAACTTTTTGGCCATCACACAAACACTGCGTGATTTCGCCCCTATTCTCCTCGTTACCGGTCATGGGAACCCACGTGACTGTCTGTGGGGACAGCGAAACCAAAGAAGGATTTTTCAGTTTCCCTCTGACCAGCGGCAGTTGAACATCGCTGGGCAAAAATCGTCAGACCGCCCACTGAGATGAGGAAGACCACGAAGTCTATCGACCAGTGATTGAACACTTGCGAAAAGAAGAAGAATCCAAACATTGTCAGCCGGCCAAGATACTGATTTATCATCAGAACTCTCGCCCGGCGAATCAAAACTTTGTGAAGATACCAGCCCGACTGCAAGATAAGTTGGTTCTTTTGGCTTGATCTATTTTCATATATGTATGTATTCGCCGCCTTCTTCTTCTTTACTGATGTCCTCCCCTTTGTTAAATGAATGTTCTTTTTTTTCTTTTGTTTGTTTAGCTATATATATATTTATAAATAAATGTTTAATTTTGAAAGCCATCGTCTTGTGTCTGTTCTTCGTTGATTCCCTTGTGTAAGCTTCCATTTCTGATGAAGACCGAGAAAAAGAAACCACGTTTTCCTTTTTTAGAACCGTGGTTCATCTATATGCTACAAGTTAAGTAACAATATATATATATATATATATATATATATATATATATATGACTAATATTTCTTTCATCTTAATTTCACTTGCTTCTTATAACAAATTCCAGGATTGCCTTTCTATAATTGTTAGGATTGAAAATAACAAAAATCAGACGCTGGTAAGATTTGAGTTTCTACAGTTGTCGGCCAGTGGTATAAGCACCATGTGCCTTTTCATTTTCTGTGTCAGATTAATAGCTAATTTGTTAATGCACTTGATATAATTGAATAAGAAAAAAGAATGATAACATTTAGAGCATGTTGCTTAATATTACATTAGTCTGTCCTTCTATTTAAGTCATGCTAAAAGATGTGTTCACAATTTTCAGTTACAGATTGTATACATATTTTATACATTCATCTAACATAGATCGGCTATGTTTATTTAATATGTAGGAAAAATTATGAAATCTTGATGTGCCTTTTTCTTGCTAACACCTTTCTCATTTTCTTTCACTCTTAAGAAGATCTTGCGTCTTAGTGGCACTGTCACCTTGCATGGGGTGAAAAGATTGCAAAAAAAAAAAAAAAATAAAAAAATTACTGACTTATGTGTGGAACAGTAAATAAAACAAATTAAATGTAGTACAGTCAGTGCCATCCTTTTAATGCTCTTTGTCACTCTTTCACAACACCCCACCGAGATAAAAAGAAAAGGAAATTCAATATCTCCTCCAGATCATCCAAGGATAAGAATCAAGTGTAACAGTTAAATGATTTAGAAAAAAAAAACCCACCTTCAAAAATAACCCTGCTTACCTGGTGTCTGCCTTTAACCAGGGTGCATTTACAGTTGTCTTCGTTTTGATTTTTCCTTCACCATTGACAACAACAACTACAACATGGGATTCAGCAACCACACCAACAATGTAACTTTCACGGTCAATGCTGTGTAAGTGTCGATATTTTACTGTGTCACTTGAAAGAAAGAAAGAACAAATCTTACCCCAAAATATCACCTGAAGACATTCAAATAAATAAATTATATATATATATATATATATATATTCCAGGTACACTTTTCATCACTTAGTCACTTTTCTCAAAATTAGTTTCCTTGCTTTTAATAGAACTCATAAATAATAAAGAAATTTGATTTGTAAACTACATTTAGTGTTCCACTTATAATTTTGGCTTTCTCCCTCCTTTTTAACACTCAAATGAGCTACCGAATTGTTTCTGATTTCTCAAGTAAACCATTTTCATTAAAAGTTATCTAACATCACCTGATGAGGGACAATTTTAAAGTTCCGAAACATGGAAATTTTAGTGTAGCGATGAAGCACTTTTTTTAAAAAAAGTAAATGCTAAGAACTGCTGATTCTTAATCTGTTCTTTCTCTTTATTTATATATATATATATATATATATATATATATATATATATACACACACACAGGGTGATTGAAAAGTAACTTCCTATTTTAACTATGGTGAACTCTCTTGTCTTGTAAAAATTATAGTTAAATCAATCATACATAAAATAGGAGTTACTTTTCAATCACCATATATATATATATATATATATATATATATATATATATATATATTGTCCCATCTGCGCAAGACAAAGTAAGACCATAGCAAGACTAAAAATCCTCATCTGCACTGCTCATTTTGAGGATGGATCAAATGATGAAGTAAAGTCACAGCCATCATACAGGGAGAGGGAGTATGACAAATATGATAGGGGAAAAACCCAACCTTCTTTGATTATGTAATATTAATTGATTTTTGTTAGGGGAAGTTATTTGAATAATTACCTGTCAGGAAGGAGAACCTTAAATATTTCACTTCCATCTGTTGGTTTCAGATTGAACAAGATTTCTCCACTGAGAACAGCAATGCTCTCAACTAAACAGTAAAGAAAGAAAGAAAAAAAAAAATAAATGGATGAAAGTTATTTTCTGTCATTCAAACAACAAAAGATAAACAACTAGAAATGATTCCTTAAGCATTTTCAAGAAATCTCTACAATGCCATCAGATCAATTTTGACAATTTGATATATATTGAGTAATAGTGCTCGTTATTCCATTTTCAGATAACTGACTGAAATAGTCACAATGATTCATGAGTAGAATCTTGCAAACATGCTTCCCTGAGGTTGATGATGGACACATTTTTTTTTTTACCTTTCTATCAACATTTCCTCCATTTGTTTACACATTGGCTATGAATGCGTCAACAAATGTATTTGTACAGTTCATTATAGGATGCACTTTTGCCTTGTTCACAAAGGTCATCAGAGGAATCAAGCACTCGGGAAGTCCAAACTTTCTCCTTTTAAACCAGCTCTTCTTGCTCTACACAACTCATTTTTTTTTTTTATATGCTTCCCTAACTTGTGTGGGGATGACGAGCTACTTTGAAAATCTTATCCTGTTGTTTCTCAGCCTCCTAATTATCCAACCATTTCATGACTGCAATATAGATGGGGGTGGGTATTAAAATACGAAGAAAAAAAATCAGTTCATCAATCTAAATAGCTACAGATATAGTAGTTCTTTGTTAATAAAACATAATGGATCCAATTGATCTGAACGTCACAAAATGCCTCAATGACATTAATTCTGACGAGAAGGTCAAGTCTAAGTTTTCTAAAACCTACAAATAAAAATTGTCCCTTGATTGAAATTCACATTGCATGCACCAAGATTGATACTGTCAACTCCACAGCACCTATGTGTTTTCCCATTAACAGTCAGCATGTCTAGACCTTCTAGTTTCCTTTGCTGACAAACTAATTCATGGTCAAGCAGGAACATCCAGAATTGACCAAAACCAATAGACAGTGTTCCATCAATATGAACCTCAATTACACTTAGGATAACATTTATATTTTGTCCTCAGTGATGATGTTGTTCTCCACCCCACCCCCCATTTTCAAAACAATATGACAAAATCTGATCTAATACTTGGCACTGATCAAAATCATCCTCGTTTAACCAAGCAATCCATCACTATATGATTAGATCCATAACACATTGTAGCAGTTGGTGGTAGTGGTCTTTACCATTTTGTATACCAGTCAGGCAGCTATTGTCCCGATACCCTTGTTCTATCTTTCAGTTTTGACTTGGCTCAATCCAGTTGTTAAGAATCACAAAGAAGCTGCTCCATATTTCCATTTCTGACAAAAATATGTCTACAGATGCACCCAGGCACAACCACCTCTCAGTGAATTGTTTATGGGCTACAAATGAATCAACAATAAATGTTGTGTACAATGTTCCTTTTCTTATTTCAATGTCTTTCATCTTTGACTCACTTTACTGTTGGTAAACAGCAAATATGTCACAAAATAAATGAACAGGAATGACTAACTTAATTTTCTTTATATTGCAGAGATTATATACCAGTTCAACTTATTCTATCCATTTAACTATAGACTCATTTGTATTAGACTTGTTAATCTTTTTTAAGTTAACAAAATAGTTTACATCATGGCTGGTTAGATTTTTTTTTTTTTTTACAAGTGAAACTCAGAGAGAATAAAAATCCAGTCCTGTTAAAATGGGCAATTAAAAAAAAAAAAAAAAAAAAAGATTTTTATTGGAATATAGTCAGAAAAATGAAAACAAGAAAACTAGTCTTTTGTTCAGTGCAATAAACCCCATTAATGCAGTCTGTAACAAGACGTTTCTTTTGCAAGAATTTAAATTTGCAATATGAAAACATTAAAATAATATAAATTTTCTTACCTCGTCGATTCCCAACAAATACTGCAGTTGCCCTGAAAATTAAAAAATAACGACTTCATATATTTAACAAAACATAATGAAAACATCAATTTTCACGATAAAGCACAAATTATGGATGACATCTAATTTTATCACGTACAAATGGCATTACAAACATTCTAATAATATTTTTGGCATTCATAGAACAATATTTGTGACAGAATCAATTGCATATTTACCACTTATGCTAGAGACTGATGTTCAAGTTTGGAAAAAAGACAAAATTTAAAAATGCTAATTTCAATGCAGACAGTATGTCCAACTTAGAAGATAGGTGCTACACAAACTTTGTATTTAGTCTCTACTCGACCATGAGCCATTCTAGATGAAGTTTATTTCATATCTAAATAATATTTTTTTTTAAATAACAAAGTTTTGGGGGGGAACATGCTGATGTGTGTTGAAGTTATTGCTAACATCATTTGTCGAGATTTACAAACTCTACATTTTGTTCAATTTCACAAACCAGTCAAAATTTGAATAAAAAAAAAAAAAAAAAACAAGGCTAATGTTGTCAAGAAATTCAGGTGATATACATTGGAATTTTGAACATATATCACGTGAAAAAGGCCAGAGCATACAATGGTTGAAATAGCTGTGAAAATGGTAATAAAGGACAAAAGTCCAAACAATGTAAATAGTGTAAATAGTTACAATACCTCTTCTCAGAAATATAGACAGATGGAGTACATAACATTTTAGTTTTTTGGGGTTTCTTTTTTCAACAAGAAAAGATCCACTCATATTCATTTTATTTCCTTTTTTAGGATTCTGTACTTTAAAATTACTGATTGTTAGTGTCTTTTATGGACTAGCAAAACAATCAAAAAACCCTCAGATGAGCAAAAATGCACAAAAAATGAGGCATAATTCTTCACACTTTTTTAGTATTTAAAAGAGCGACACAATAGACAATTTTTGGTAGCTGCTTTGCTAATATGAATATAAATCAGATGCTAATGTCGAAAATAATAAAGAGATTTTACTTTTACTTCCATAATCTCACAGACCTATCAATCTGGCTCATACCTTTTATTGTGTTTGTTTGTGTGATGGGGTGGGGGCATCAAAATAATCAAGTCAAGGGAACTTGGTTTCTTCAAGAAAATTCTTTCCATAAACTCATCTATAATTTTAACAATTATTAAGACTGTTACTTACACACTTGAGGGATCATGTTTGAGAACAGTTTCCCACTGAAGAAATCCAGAACTTGGAATCCAGCTTCGGACAAATTTTCCATTGCCAGAGACACTAACCAAACCTAGTCAGGAGAAATAAATTCAGTACAATTTCTTCAAACAAACTCTTTGCACATAAATCAATTTATATCTTTACAAAAAAAAAAAGTCAAAATAATTCTGAAAAAAAAAATTAAAATAAATACTGGATATTTATATATATATATATATATATATATATATTATTATGAATGTGCAGTGGCACAATAGCTCAATTGAGAAATTAGACAGTCAAGTTCAAATTCACTTCATTACATTCAATGTAAATACATTTAGAAAAGGTATGAACCCATCTGTTCTCCCCATAGCTATGAGTGAAATACCAAGACATTTCATTCACACACACACATATATATATATATATATATATATGCACACATGAGAGCGATAGAGACTGCTTTCACAATAACAACAGATATTATTAATCAACTGATACTGGTAAAACTTTCAGGTTATATTTTTATGATAAAAATACAGAAAGTGAATTTCAATTGATTTCTTTTTATTAGAAATATTTACAATATTTTCTTGTGTGATATTATGTAACTCAACATCTGTTCAGTATATTGTAACCGACATAAGAAAACAAACAAATAAAAATTTAAATGATTATCAAGATAAAAACAAGATAAAAAAACAAATTAAGAAATGTGACAAAAAAATGAGTAATAAGTTGATTGACCAGCAAAGAAATATTTCAGGAAGCTTGTGTTGCAAATGAAAACAGAAGTAGAATCTTAAGGACATTGGTTAAAGATGTAAAAGCAACCAAACTATCACCTTTAAATAAAGATAAAAAAAAAAAAGAAACCTGTAAGTTGGATGAAGAAATAAATGAAAAACTGATTTTGTAACAGTGATTGTTAGTGATGAATGTAGAGCTACATTGGATTGACCTGATGGCTGCGAAACAGGTTAGGGTCCTTCATGGAAATAATCAGCCAACATGACTGAGAAGACAACTGTAAGGAAGTGGAGTCATGTTTTGGTATAGTATTGTAGGTAGTAAAATTATAGATCCCTTCAAAGTTTGTGATGGTGATGTCAAGATAAATTCTGGGAATTATGCTAAGTTTTCATACAATACAATTTTTGAGTCTAATATGTCACAACAGAGAATAGACATTCTAAAGAGTATATCTCTGCAAAAACAATATCCCTGCACATTCTATAAAACTGATTGTTGCCCACTTTGGCAAAAGAATGTTTCAAAGGCATCAAATTAATGGAATGGTTCTCAGCCTCACCAGAGAAAACTTAAGAGAAATGTATATATAAAGTTGACAGAAAAGTTAAAATTAAAGTTAGAATGACAGAAAAGTTAAAAAAAAGAATACCAGTAAATAAAGGATTGATGAAGGTTATATAACATCAAAAGAGTACATATTAACATTTAAAATTAAATATATTCAGCTATATTGATGTTGTAATGTTGTCTTTGTTCAAAATAGCTGAGAATTAGGAAGGGCATAGTTAGAGAGAGTATCAAAGGAACAGAAGACTAGTTAGGGAAAACAAAGAAGAAGAAGTTTATTATTAAATACTCATACATAGAATGGAATAACTTGATGAAATCAACTCCTCCTCAAATCCTACTCTAATGTAGCTACTTGTCATATTTATAAGTGGGAGCAGTCCATTTGTCACAGTAGTAGGGAAGAGCAGGAAGTATGCTGAGTCCTATTCTACAACACCTCCACTTTTAGTTCATATTTTTTATTATCTTTTCTTACTTGGATTCATCTTCAGTCAGCTGGTACATTTTGTTTTTCCTACCCATGGTACTGACAAAACTTTGTCTAGCATTATGGTAGTCGCTGGCAGCTGAAATGTATCAAACAGGAGTTTGAAAAGCAATGCTGTTGACTGAGGAAAATCTTACTTAACAATCTCTCTTTGCCATAGCTTACTTGTATATCTCTTGTGCAGACAATTTTGATTTTGAACCAAATATATTATTTGGCCAATTCACCGAAATATCATGCTGTCCTCGCATGATTGTTTTCCTGTCTGGTATTTCTTAAAAAATACCTAATCTCTGATTTGGAGGGTTGCAATTTTATTTTATTCCCTTGTAATTCAGTCAACGGTTTAGAGAATATAGTCTTTAATTTTTTGAGAATATTAAATCGGCAGGTGATTTTCTTGATGCTATATTAATCAAATAAATGTTTTGGTATCTTTTTGGGATTTATTTATAAATAAAAGTTTGTTGTCCTTTGCATAATAAACCTGACACATCTGAAACAAGATGTTATCAATATTATAAACTGAAATACACAGGAAATATTATTCATATCAATATGTATATATCTAGAACGTATTATCAACATCAATTGGTTAATACTAATTTCACAATAGAAATATTCTTCTGTTGATGCTATAGAAATATAATTTTAAGTTAAACTTTATAAATAAAATTCAGTAATTCTTTAATGGTAAATAGAATGTTATTTGTTCAATAACCAAATGTTAATATTGTTGGGTCTGTGTTTGTGCTAAACTAGTGGAAAGAGGAAAGTGATTTTTCAAGGGAGATAACTATTAAATACTATTCTCTTATTTGCATAAGAGTTAAAAAAAAAAAAAGAGCTTAAGATTTTTTTTCTTTACATAATACACAGAAGAGAGCATAATTTTCAAGGGAGTGACTTCAATGAATCCTTTTTTTTTTTTTTTAAACCAAAACTTTCAATGTCAGAGAGGAGTCTTGTCAATTTTATTGAAAGAAATAGTTTTTGTTTGTCTGAATTTTTACTAAAAAGAAAATAGTATTTACTTATTTCACTTTTATCCCTTTGATTATGGATTTTTGCATGACTAACACCCACAAAGAGTAAGACCAACATCTGTGACACCAAAAAACTAAGAGAAACACCCATGGTCCCAAATCCATTTAAATTCTGTATAAAGATTAATTAAATTTTTATAAACTTTACACAATGAAAAAGATGACAAATTGGAGTATATTCCAATGTAAATATTTTCATCAAATCCAGAGAAATGGATAGAGTTGTGTTTATTAAAAAAAGTTACTTTATAATAAAATAAAACTAATAGTGCAGTACTAGACTGGTGACAAAGTCTCACCAATTTACACTTGAGTTGGCTAGATGCAACAATAAGTTCTATGCTAACAGTTTTTTTCTCTCTCGCACTTATCACTTGTGGAACTCTCTTCCAGCTTTCCAGTCAATTTTAATCTTCAAAAATTTAAATGTCAGTTTCTTTCTACTGTCCTCCTAATTAATCTTCTATTCTTCTGGTTCCTTAGTAAGGTTTCTGTTTTCTAATTCTCCCATACCCAGTAACTTCATGTGTCTTAGTGGCTTTACTGCCTTCTCTGAGGTAAACTTGATTAAAAAAAAATTAATTAAAAAATCAAAATACCTTATTGCCTTACCAAAACTCAGTAAAATACTAAAAAATACTAAAATGCTACTTAATCATGAATAACTTTTTTTTGTTTTTAAATCTTAAACTACAAAATTACAAATATCTTGTTTGGATAAATTTATACTTTTATTAAAATTATACCAAAAAATCTTTTAAAAATTTTAATAAAATTTTTGGTTCTATTATTTCTGCTTTGATCAGAAACATGATGTAATCTAGACTTTTATTAGTAAAGCATTGTTAACCATTAATAATTTTTAATTAGTATTTTTTTTTTAATTTTATTTACTTTTCCTCACAACTACTCAGACTGGATTAGGAGGACAGTGAAAAGCAATTAAGACAAAAGAAATACTCGGTAAAAATGAATCTTACCTGAAATGTCATTTCATAATTGAGAATAATTCATCAATAATTAATATCCACCATTGATTTTAATAGATTCTATTTTTTTTTTTTTTGTTAATAACAAAAAAAAATTTAATATGCAGGTTAAATAAGCAGATACTTAATTCACTTGAAGAGTTAATTTGTTGGTTTTTAATTTCTATAAGAAAAAAAATGAATTCCTGAAAATAGAAGCAAAATCAAAGATTTTTTTTAAATCCACCTTACCATTTCCTTGATGAAGAAGTGTATTTATCCGACCCTTTTCACCTTCTTCGAGGATTTGGCGCCATGCTAAAAGACAGAAAATAAGATTTTTCTGAGATTTTCAGATACATTATTAATACACCATTATTTGAACCCTCTTCATCTACAGGGTTTCATTTAATTTAATTTTTTTTTTTTTTTAATATACAGGATGCAATGGATAAATTGTCGTCTAAATTACGCAAAAATAAAAATAACACTGACATCTCATTTTAACAGATATATTTACCAAAATTACACAAAAATATCTTCAAATATTAAAGAGTAAATTTATTTAATAAAATCACCATTGGCTTCACCCATGGCCTCCAGATGACTTTGGATTCTCCTGCACCTCTTCTGGACAGTCTCCTTGTTTAAGTTGGTGAATGCTGCCATAATCCTTGTCTTCAGTTCATCTTTGGTGCTACAAGGAGTTTTGTTGGTTTCTTGTTCAACTGCACCCCATACATAACAGTCAAGGGGGTTGCAAGTCTGGGGAGTTAGGCAGCCAGACGTAAGGGGCGATGTATTTGCAGAAATTGTCTGACAGCCATGACTGTGCTTGTGTGGCATGGTACAGAGACCTGTTGCCAGATATAGGGGGTTTTCAGCAGCCATACTCTTGACCCAGGGCAGCTCTACCTCCTCAAGGCACTTGATATAGGCCTCTGTGTTGAGTCTGAGGCCCTCACCAACAAATTTGGGAGTTCTTTTCTCATCAGAATGATCAGAGTGAGTTTTCCAAGCTGCCGTACCTTTGTAATCACCAGTATACTCATCCAACTCTTTCCAAATCCTATGAACTGTCCTCAGATTGACACCCAAACACTCTGAAATGTTCATATTGGAGCTTCTGATGTCAATGTCAAGCAGTACAGCATGCTGTTTCCAAATTTCTGGCGGAGTGAATTGTGTCATGATGTTTTTTTTTCTCACACACAGTGGCCAACCAACCCCACTATACTGTGCAGTTGACAGAATCAAAAATAATGTGTGTGTGCACGAAATTAAAAATATAAAATGACGACAATTTACACATCGCACCCTTTACAAATATGTGCATCTTGAGATGAATGTGTCGAATGCAATCATATTCATCTTACTTTTATAATCTAGACAAGAATCAGAAAAAAGTACCATGGCTTCAAGACATGCTACAAATTGCAAGAAGCAACAAGAAGACTGTACAGAAGATTTTTTAAGTAATAAAGGCGGGAGAATGAACCAAATGAAATATGGAAAACAAAATTTTGAATATTAGCAGAAAAAAGGTCCATAATTACTTTTGTATTTACATTTTTATGGTTGTAGATATAGAAACAATATCATTTTCCTCTATTTGCTAATACAAAAATGATGATAATCAGTTTGAGTATAGAATTATTGGATTCATCTCTGTTACACTTGCAGGAATTTCTGACAAACAATTCTTTCTGTTTTCCAAGGATTTGCTAGAGAAAATTAGCAAAGTTTTTCTACAGTAAAATTCAACTGATTAAGTCTTTTAAATTTCTATAGTTAAATCATTCACATTTCAGTTATATGCATAATAGTCTTTTTCTATAAGTAATGGTTGCCTTAATTCCTGATCACTGACAATCCCTTTCTTCTTTATTTTCAATGCATAAGTGAAGCTTTTGAATAATTTCATTACTGGCCTAAAATGAATTTTAGAAACAATTTCCAATGGAATTTTTATCACTAAAACTTTTTCTTAGCATGTAACTTTAAACATGTTTAATAAGTCACATGATATAAAGAGTTCAAAATTCAATTTATTGTTTTTTGTTTTTGCTAAAAATGATGTCAAAATCTACCCAAGATGAGAAAGAGAGCAAAGCTGATTTTGAATGTGATCGGATTGTTGATTTTGAAAATCTGGGGTTAAAATGCAAAAGCTGAACAAATTAAACACAGTTCTGAAAATTTTTTATGTGATCCAGAACGTAATGAGTCAAGAAGAGAGGTGGTCAACCCAAAAAAGGAGTCTGATTGTGAGGTCTCATCTGAATGTGTTAAATAGGACCTGAAGTTCACAGAGAGGCCATCTGAGAAACAATTAAGAGGTTAGGACTGGATTCAGGCACAAACAAAAAAAAAGCTCCACCACTGAGAATGATCCACACACAATCCAGACTGGAATTTGGAAGACATGGGATGAAAAGTGTTAACAGGTTCTCTTCACAGATAAGAAATTCAACCCAGATAATGCAAATGGCTTCCACTCTTACTGGCTTGATCAGCAAATCACAAACTTTTTGAACTATGCTAGGGGACAGGGTGTCATGGGCTTATGGTCTGAAGTGCTGAAACATGGCTTTCCAATTTGTTGACAAGTAGCTAAATGCAACAAGATATATATATATAAAAGAATTGCAAATTTATCAGCTGAAGGTGGTCTGATCGGCTACTCATGTAAACTAATGTCAACATCGAGTGGCGACAGTCTGTTTTAGTCTTGAGAACAATCTTTAAGCCATCCAGATGGTGTGTTTGCATGTGTATTTTTTTATTCTTAAGGCTTTGAAAAATACTCTGTCCTAGACTCTGAAATGCATTTTTATTACTATAGTAATTGAAAACTGATGATTTCTTAAGGAACATATATGAAAGAGTGATAAAAAGTTTTTTTTAGCCTGATTCACTTTCCAATAATTAAAACAAACGACCAAATTTCAGATTTTTTGGAGGGGAAAGACTTCTTGGTTAGGCATGGGAACTTTTCAAATCCAGACATTGTATGTGTAAGTGAAATCATTCATGAATATTTTGACATATTTGCTGAATAAAACCTTCCTGTGATATCATACAAATAAATAGATATTTTTTTCTTTTTAAATACTTACCAATACTTCCATTGTGGACATTGATGGCTGCCAAAGCATTTTTGTCAGTCCCAACCAGAAGCCTCTTGCCCATGTAATGTGACTGGTCCCAATACAAGTAATCCACCCTTCCTACATACCTCTGCATCCTTAAAAATGAATAAAATTATATATATATATTAATCATTTCACTTACGTCAATAAAGCCATTAAGTTGCAAGGGGTTACTGAGTGTGAAAGAATATAATTAAAAGAAAACATTAAGGAGAGAGAACAAACAAAAGAACAAGAATTAAGAAGACAGAAGATAACGATTGACGTTGCATGTAAATATTTGAAAATCAAAGTTGAATGGAAAGCAAGAATCTGGAAGAGAGTTCCACAAGTGAGAAGTGTAAGAGAAAAAACTGTTAGCATAGAACTTACAGTTATATCTAACCATTTTAACTGTAAAATGATGAGACCTTGCCATCGACCTAGTGTTTTATATATATATATATATATATATAGCCAAATGTAAAAGAAGGAAAAGAATATAAATTCAAATGTTCATAACATTAATTTAAAAAAGGGCTCAATACAAGAGCAGAGCAATAAATATTTATTATAAACTGTTACATTAGAATATACAAGTTGCATGTTCCAATGTAACAGATTATAATATATATATATATATATATATATACACACACACTAAAATAATAAAACACTGAATGGAACACTACCATGGTTTTGACCACCAAGGTCTCAGTGAAACATATAATTAGACAACACAACAAGAACTTAAATTTCTTAATGTGGCACCATAAGTAATGAAGGGGAGAAGAATTGGAAAAAAATTGTTTTTACAACTTCAACTGGGTTTGTATAATCTTAAAGTCAACTTCCTCATGTACCTACATTTGGCCATAATTTCGGACCTCTCATTCAAGAACTCAGCACCACCCTTGAACATTGCAATGGCTAAATTCTCCTGACACAGCTTACAGGAGTTGCTATTCATTTTATCAGCTTTTATTTTTCTTAGAACATTCCATTTGATGGCTGGACTTCTTTCATTTCTTTCTTTAAAACTCCAATAATAGTTTGTTTGCCTTGTATTGAACCTGTGTTTGGGTATTCTAAATGATGACGTATGATTATATCAGCTCTTTTTAAATTGGCCATCAGTGCAACCAATATGTTTTTGCACTGCCATTGTCATTTTCTACACTAAACTTTCTGTGCAACATATCCCATTTAAGGGACAATTATTTTGTCTTCTGCAATTACAAAGGACCTTAGAAAAATCAAACCTGCAGAGTGGAACTAACTTTTTAACACATACGATTTTAAACAACTATTTTAGCATTTATTCACTTTGTTTTATATATATATATATATATATATATATATAATATATATATATATATATATATATATATATATAAATATATATATATATATATATATATATTACAACTTCCAACAAAGTTGTTTTATAAAATTGGTAAACTTTCCAAAATCAATTTTTGTTTTTTGCAACCAATTATTTTTAGCTGTTACTCCAGTCATTAAAAATTGCAATTTTTTTATCTGTTTATGAAATTGCATTTGGCTCATTGCAGCATGTTCTCGTTTGCTGGAACCTATTTAAAGTCACTTAAAGGTGACATCATTTACAATGGTCAAACTGAATTTTTACATTATTTTTTTTTTTTTTAATATGAACTTCAATATACAATTTCCTATGGAGAAAGATACCATTTTTAATGTTGGCTGCTTCCCTTGTATTATGGCTTCCAGAATTTTAAGTCATTGAGTCCTCTATTACATTTTGGTGTTATCTATTATAATTGTCTTATGTTAATTTTATTTTAGTTATTTGTGACATGCACAAAATTTTGACAAATGACAAGTCAAACTACTTGTCAAAAGTACATAGATTAAAAAAAGATATGATCTTTTCCATTTGTATAAAATAACTTAGTTGGGAGTTGTAAAAACTTTGGGCAGATAGAACTTGCTGGTATTGTTCAACAAAACTTGTCTAAAAGAATTCTTGCTACCTAAAAACACACACACACATAACTTATAGCTAATAAAAATTATATGTGCATAAAAAACAGTCCCAGACTAAAGTGGAATGTCACCCTACTGCGCTAGCTGACCGCATGAAGGTGAAAACATTTGAAATCCTCCTACTAGACAGACACGCATGCACAATTACGAATGTACATTACCATCTGATGCCTGCTTACACATACTAGAATTTTTACAAATTTACATCCATATAGAATTATCTAGTTTTAATGCATGTGATACATGAATGGCCAATAAGAATTGACCCAAACAAAATTAAAAATACCAAAGTTCTGTCTTTTTGTCTGTTTCCTCTAAATTTCTGATGAAGCTCTAATAAAAGAGAAACATGTTAGATTGATAAACGTTTCCTATTTGTACTTTATCTTATCCTGTCAGATTCTGATCAGTATTTGATCTTTAACTCATACATATTTATGTGTGCGTGTGTAAATAATGACAAAAGGAAAAACTTATCTTAGCCAACACGTTTCGTCCTCTGACAGACTTTATCAAGGCAAATGTGAGGATTTTATTTTTCAACAAGTCTTTATAAACAAAAGTAAAAATTTAAGAACGTTCATGAATATTCATCATGTTAACTGAACAGTCTGGGCAAATTATGGAAGAAAATTAAGTAATTTAATTTCTAATAAACAAAAGTCAGTAAATGATCTTGAATTTATTTTTTTATGCAATTAATATTTAAATTATTTATTATGACATAAATGTATGTATTATATATTTTTTAAAATAACAGGAGGTAATGAATTTAATTTTCTTTTAATTTTTTAACATTTTCATTAGTCATGTATGTTGGCTTTGAAAAGGAGTAATTCTTTTAGGAATGGAGATATTGGAAAAAAAAAAACTGTGATGCAGATTTATATTTTGATAAGATTTGACAGCGGTACTAAGTAAGTTACTTTCCCTTTTAATAAGTGTGGCATTCTTTATATCAAAATTGTGGCTGAATTTATTTCTATGTATTTGATAAATTGTTGCGTATAAGATCCTTTTTGTGTTCATAGTTTTTTTTGTTTTTTTTAATTTCTACAAGTTTCCCCAATGTATTGTGAGAAGCAGTTCTGGCAGTTTATTTTATAATTACTTGCTTCAGAATTATTATTGTGATGAGTATTTTTGGTTCTGATCATATCCATAATAGTTTTGGACATGGCTGTAATTATTTTGATATTGTTAATATTGGATCAATTGTTTTGGATAGTGAATGGTAAGGAGTTAGTAGGTAGTACTAGATGTCTGTTTTTTTATATACTTTACTGTCATTGTTATTTTTGCAATTGTATATTTTGTATGCCTTTCTCTTAGCATTATGGATGGAATAATGACGATACTGGAGGTTTGTTGAAAGTGTTTTCTATGTATAGTTCTTTTTCATAATAAATATTAGGGGCTGCAGATTCTGAGTGTCCTTAAATAGAATCCTATATTCCAGATTTCATCCTTTTGCAGTGGTTGGAATAAAAATTTGCACACATGCATATTTTAATTTATTACATAAACGTTATTTTGAATGGACACCCATATTTGAGTAGATGTTCCGTTTTTATTTATTTATTAAACAGTATATTTATTTCCATCTACCAGCCTGAATATAAATTAATATACTGTTTAATAAATAAAAACAGAGCATCTACACAAATATGGGTATCCATTAAAAAATAACATTTGAGCAATAAATTAAAATATGTTGGATTAATAAATTAAAAATCCATTCCTAAATATATAAATATAAAGATATAAAACAAAATTTTAATCAGTTTCTCTTTGCATATTTTAAAAGCTGTTATAGTGAAACACACCTATTCTATAGTTAATAGACTCTCCCACCTATAATAAGTAGGAGTAGTAGCAGTCGGCTTGGTGAGTTGGTCAGCCAGTCGACTGGCTGATTGGTTGAACTCTCTGCCTTCGGGCGGGGAGGAACCCGAAGGAGGCTACGCCAATGGGCAGATTCTCTTTCGGGGAGGTAAACCGACCCTGAACCCGTTTATACGGGTTCAATGGGCATATTTTTGGCCAAGCCCACGGGCTCGGAGGTCCCACGTTAAAAAGGGCTTGTGCCACATGATGCCCTCGTGGGGGGGACTGAATATCGTTGGTCAGTCAGTCAATGCCGGACGACCGTTAGTCGAATACTAAAAGTATCAGCGACCACCAGTAGATTTCTCTGCGTCATTACCTATTATATCAAGTTCCTAACGTTTTGTACGTCGAACCTATTTTAGGACTGACTTAGTACAAATACAACCCTCCACTGTGAAACCACTCCATAAAAGCATAAAGAAAACCTCAACAATTATTTCTGTTAGCCTATCTATCATTTATAATCATGTGTTTATGAATGATCCTTAAGCCTCTTTAATAAAATATTTAATCATAGAGGCAAATGATAAAGATAATCCCCAAAATGCCTGGAACATAACACAATGCTATAATGCTTTTTTTTTTCTTTTTTCCTTTAAAAATAGGCTGAAGTCTGCTTTTGAGGGTTGTTAGATTGGCAAGAGTCAGGCAGGTAATTTCATTAGACATGCCTTGACTTTGAGGTCAAAGAAAAAAAAAAATCACAAGTAATATTTACTACTAGGCTTGTAGTAAGGATGCATGATTTACAAGGGTATTTGAGGAATTATTAAGCTAAGTCCCATAGCTTTTTTCCATTTCAAGCTTTGACAGACAACCCTTGAGCTTATCAGCACATCAAATACAGTGATATATGCTCAGTTTTGTTTCTATTTAACATGTCTTTTGCACATTCACAGTTCTAAGGCACCCAGTAAGAATCAATCTCACTACAGTGGCAATGATTTAATAGATTAACCAAAAGTGCATTTGATAAATGCATTTCTATAGCAAAACCATTATCTTTATAAATGCAATTCTATAGTAAAAACATTAGCTTTATAAATGCAATTCTATAGTGAAAAAATAACATAAGCAATGTATCTATACTATCCATAAGTGAAAGAAAATACTGATTTAAAATCTCTACTGTCGAGCAGCTATACCCACTCATGAGAAAAGCTTTGGAAGTCAACTCTGAGGAAAAATGTAATGTCATAGTCACTAAGGTAGTTTGCAGCTGTAGTATTCAGCAACATCCTGGCAATTTTTTTTTTTAAATAATTTTACCCCAGGCGCGAGAGGTGTGTGTGTGTGTGGGGGGGTAATGAAAATGAAAGAAACGGAGAAAACATTATTGAGTAGAAAGGACCATAAAAGAACATGATTGAAAAAGACAGATGATAATTGACGTTGCATTTAAATTTTTGAAAATCGTAGTTGACAGGAAGGAAAGAAGATATAGTAAGTGGGGGGGAGAATTAGAAGTGCGAGAGAAGATGAATATTAGAATAGAACTTACGGTTCCATCTCTAACAAGTTCAACAGTAAAATGAGTACAAGAACATTTACAAGATTTCAGTCAGCTTTTTCAGATTTTCTGTACTCTTATTAATTTAGATTTAAAATAAAACTGAATTTAAAAACATTGCACATGAGTACGTTCGTCTCCAATTGTAAGATGAAAATTAGTTCCATAAAAAAATAGTCGAGAAATAAAATGTTAAGAACAACTCGTTACAAATAAAACTTTTGTAATTTGTTTCACAGAAGCCTTTCTTGGTCTTTAAACAGAAACAAATTATGATAGGAATGTTAATAAATTAAAAAGACAATAATAACAGAACAGTAACACGTAGAGACAAACAGATTCCGGTGACGATTTTTATAAAAATATCTTCAAGACTAAAATGATTAAATTATTTTTTCTTTTAATCAAACCTGGTACTAAAAAAGAGTTTATTACAAACACCAAATTAGTACGAGTGCTATAACATTCATAGTTACATGATTTAGGGTTTTTGTTTTTTTTCATTTAAAGAAAATCAAATCATAACTTGGTTTAAAAGGAAACTTTTCTTTTTTTTTTTTTTATATATTAATCCGGTATGATCAGCTTACCAGACAAAAAAAGCGATGAATAAATATAGAACAGTAACACACTCTCTAAATTGGTGCGGTTGTCTCTTGTAACCTAAAAACGGTGCAATACATCAATAAAATAAAGACAAGTTTCTCTTTTAAAATAAGAGAAATAAATAAATAAATTCTTTCATGTATGCAATAAATAAAGAGTGGCAAATTCAGAAAAGAAATATATAAAAAAATTATGGAAACAAGTTAAAAATTTAAATGCGAAAAGAAAAAAAAATTGGTGAAAGTATTATTGTAATTTTATGTAATTCTTTACTACAAATTAGGGAGCATGGATTTCGGCTGGTTAATAATTGGTGTCATTTCAGATGTACTTCTAAAAAAAAAAAAAAAAACATTTGACAGCAATGCAATGCGCAGCAGAAATAAATGCACATATATTTTTAAAATAATAATTATTCTCATGAAATAATTTAGAAAAGACACAGAAAAAATTTCCAGCTTTTCGTAATTAAAAATAAAAATCACCTGCAGTTAAATTTTTAGTTTAGTTTATTGATCAAGTCTTACCCATCTCTTATTTTTTTTTTTTTTTTTTAAAAAAACAAGAAACTTTTTCAATATTTTAACATCTGATATGGATCGAGTTTAATTAAAATATTCAATTTTTTTTTTGTTTGAGCAGTTTTTTGTATTTTTTCTTAACAGATTTATTAAGCAAAAAGATCAAGAAATTATTCAGACTGACAAAATTTACCTAAGTACATTTTTTTTCTTTAACTTATTAAAAAAGTAACCGGTTTTTCTTTTTAAAATGTTGTTATATTTTCTCTTCAAATATTTACGATTTATTTTTTTTAACTCTTTTTAAATTCTCAGATATCCAGCGAGTTCGGATGTTTTAATTATTTTTGATAAGTTGATAATATATATCAAGAAAAAGACCAGAGCTTTATTTTTCCAACAGTAAGTGTTGTTATATTTGTCAGAATAAACTTTAAATGCAAGGACGACAGAGAAGCAGCTTTTTTTAAATTACGAACATCATGTCATACAGCATGGTTTTTTAAGTTATAAAAACTACGAAATAATTAGAATTAAAAATGATATCAAGGGAAAAAAAAAATAAGTTAAAAGAAAATTTTATATTGTAAAAATAAATAAAAGTACCAGTCAAATTTCCCGGCCTGATCTTCGAAGAGTGCAGTGGCCCCTTGAAGAAAAACCAAGAGAACAGTGATCAGGAAAGCCAACATGTTTAGGGCCTCCATATTTTTTTTTAATTCTAACAATGTTGTTCTCCCTTGTGGACAAAAATATGAGAGCGTTACATCCAAGTCCGATAACTCTAAAACTACTTTATTTTCTTCTTTAAAGTGTCGTAGCTCGTCTGGTAAAGTTTCTGTCAACACTCAATATACCTAACGTGCTAACGAGTTCTCTTTCTCATTGCAATACCATAATGATGTTGTTTAACATTCAGACTCGTATACTCATCTTGGTTATTATAGTGATAACGTTTCGACCATTGTACACCCCAACCTTCATCAGGATATTTATTTTGTAATATTTACAAAATTGTGGCACATATTGAAGGAGTGTGTGGGGGGGGCTGGTCTTCATTAGCTGTCCTTAGTTAATTCAAATCATGACCCATTCATTCATTACAATTACACATTCACCACAAGAATTCATCCATCACCTCTCAATCCCCCAACCTTCTTCAGGTGTCTGTCATGTCATTATATTTGGTAACATTATCTATTCTCATAATTTTTGAATTGGACCCAAAAATAGAATAAGTAATCTACCTGCCCCATGGATTTAAATGGTTTGGTCCAAAATTCCAAGGAGGTTACTGAATAAAAAAACAGACAATCTAATCCTGTGAACTAAATAAAGGGTCCAGTTTGAAATTTCAACTGAAGACAGAGCTTACAAAGGCCAAAATGTTGTGAATATGAAAATAATGTAAAATACATTGTTTGTTTAGAATCCATGTTTTGTTTTTTATTTTTACCCAGACTCACATGAATCTGCTAAATATTGTTTGTGGGACAAATGTTCCAGAAGCCATTAAATATTTGCTGAAAAGCATCCACATCTCACAACAAAAGTAGCGAGGCACAACAATATATAATGGCCCAAATGTTGTATAACATTGAAAATGGCTATACTAGATTGAATGGAAAAACATAATAAATTTTCATCTCAAAATTACTGATCCACAGATGAATACAGTGAATTCTAATTGAGCAATTCATAAACTATGAACATGGTCACAATGTGCTAACCGTGTTTGGGAAAATAAAAATAACATTTTCATAGCTCTAGATACATACATAAAAATGTATACATTTAGTCAAAAATAAAATAAAAAAACATCTTTCATAATGGCTAAAAGTATAGCCAAAAGTGCTTGGATGTACAGAACATTCAGACATTTTTTACACACTTTATGCCCAGATAAGATATCACTTATATGAACAAAAGAAAAATTGAATAAAAAGCTTGACTGCAGTTGTCAGTCATCTTTAATGAAACATGTATAAAAGAGGGATTGATGCCCAAATGCACAATTATATATATATATATATTTGCTTCTATTCCAAATTATTTTGTGGATACACATATTTGAGTAGATGCTGGTGTGAAATACATCTATCAGTCTACTAATTTAAGAAACTAAAAAAGAAAATATACTCTCTAGCAGGGTTTGAACCTGCATCCTTCTTTGTAAAAAAAAAACACCATCTGATCCAGCATGCTTTAGACCATCCAGCCACAAAGTGTATCATGATATATATATATATATATATATATTCTTCATTGCACTACTCGGAGTTTCATGCCTCTGCAATCTTCAGGTGTGGATTTTTGGAAGTTTACACCGTTTTTTTAATATTTCTGGTTATTATGAGACTTTATTGTTAGGGTGGATTATTATTGTTGTTAATTATTTAAATGAATCGTAGTTTAATTTTGGGTTTAAATTTAGGCCCAGATTAACATTTATATGACTTAATCTGCCCTTCAACAAAAATGTCAAAACTAAATTTTTTTTTTTTTTTTTGAATTTAATCTATAAGCACTTCAGTCATTCCTCAATACTAAATAAGTTTTTCAACAAAAGCATCAAAGTTAGCTACGGTTGTGCTAAAAACATTGATCAGTGTATAGCACAGCACAACAGTTCCATTCTAAACACTTTAACAACCTTCAAAGCAACAACATCCCCACAACGAATAATTGCACCTAAAAAATAACAAAAAAACCCTGTCAATTAAATGGCAGATGTATAACCAAATAAAGCTGAAACTAAATATGATGAAGAGATCTAGTTTTATGTGGGCTTTATGGAAAACCACAGGAAATCATGCTTCTACTGCCATGAAATGACATTAGGCAATATCAAATATAGTAACAGCACTGCCACCTCTAAATTTTTCTGGAAACTGAAAAGCGAGAATAAAAACCCAACTATCACCTCAGAATCAGTAACAAAAGTTAAACCCTTCAGCAGGAAAAGGAGCAGATGTAACTTATATCTTTATGAAAAAATAATAATCCTGAAAAATATGAACAATCCTAATCTCTTAAACAAAAGAAGTGAGCCAATGAGAACCTGCCTACATAGAACTAAATTTCTACTCAAACATGTTGACGCAGATTAATCTAGCTGGGCCCAAGGACTACATATACTAGTATTGATATTATTTATTTTTATTAATATTTTTACTACATCTACTACACAACTATTATTATTAGACTAATGCATTTAATATTTTTACTGATATATTACTTTCATTATCTTATTACCATTTTTAATATATAACCATTGTTTTTATGTTACTTTTACGCTTACCTTTAGTCTATCAGAAATGTTTTTATGTTTATTTGATATTTATTTAACTAGTTATGTTATTTTCATTGATATGTATTACTTTTATTAGTATATTAATTTTATCACTGCATATTTTATTATCACTTCTTTTATCAAGTTTATTAATATTAGTATTAATATTATTACTTTATTTATAGAGTTATCCCCCTTGATTTCTAAACATTTCTTCATTTTGATAACAGCGGCATCTGTTTTTTAAACTAGAATTTGTAATTCTTATTTCCAACCTTATTTTCAGTCTTAAATGTTAATCTGGACCTAAATTCAAACCCAAAATTAAACTACAATTCATTTAAATAATTAACAACAATAATAATCCATCCTAATAATAAAATATCTCATGATAACCAGAAATATTAAAAAACCATTAAACCCAAAAAATCCACACCTGAAGATTGCAGAGATATATGAAACTTAGTTATGCAATGCAGGGTATTATGTATATTTTTTAATATATTAAATAACTGTTATTTAAAATTGAGCGGTGTTTTTTCTTACACTATAGAGTATATATATATATTTGTATATGAATGCTTGCTTGTACATTTACCTATATTTATCTATTTGATAGTGTGTGTGTGTGTAGTGTTTCAAATTTGCTATATTTATAGAGGAAGACTTTTCAATCAATACCAGTGATAAAGCATTTATAGTGTGGACATTGGACTCAACACAGCTTGGTAACTGTCAATTTCAAGCTTAAATGTGATCTTCAGATCAAGATTTCTGACTTTCTATTGTGTTATGTAACTGACAGTCATTATGCAGTATTGATTCTTATGTCCTCTCTCTCTTTATATAATTATTTATTCAAAAATGATAACATAAATATGTTATAAAATCACTACAAAAATAGCCATTTTGTTTCAACACTTTTGGTGTCTTATCAAGTGATGATGTTGAACCTCTACTCTGTATTAAGCACTCTTTTAAGAATAGTATTTGTTGGTTATTGGAATTTATTCCGTATACACCAATCCTATACTTGTATGTATATATATATATATATATATATATATATATTAATAATATACATTTTTACTCACCTTTTTTTCCAACTATTTATATATACATCTTTAACACAAACCCTGTAAATAATATGGACTTCTCTATTACAATAGTTCAGTATATAAATCAAAATTTCAATTATTTAATGGTTACTTTTAATTCAGCACCTGAAGATTGCACTGTGCATAAAACTCAGTTGTGCAACCAGTGAGGAAAAAAAAAGCATATTTATTATTTTATAGTTGTTATTTTACATTGAGCACTGTTCTATTAACACAGGCACTAAATGTACAATATGTATATATATATATATATATATATATATATATGCAAAGGTCAGTGTGTCACACTTTTTCAACTTAAAGGGATACAACTCTCTTTAAATAGCTCATTTCAAATGAAAAAAAATTACTATTCTTAAATTACAGTGTTTCATAATAAAATTGTCCATGTTTTCAACTTTACCCCTACAGGCCATAGCCCAACATATGATACCATTTTGGAATCAAACTGATTCCATGAGCAAATTAAAAACATTCCTGGCCAGATCCGGACTCACAATCCTGAAATTTTGGATTCCCAAGTTTTCATTACTCTGATTGTTTTTGGTAATTTTTTAATGTGATTTTTTGCAATGAATTTTTTGTACGATAATTTTTAGAACTTGGAAATAAATTTGGCAATAATCAAAATTAATTGTGAAATCCAGCAAAAGTCACCCATGAAATAAAAATAATTGTTTGTAAGGAAAGTATGGACTTACATATATCAAATTGTTTTTAAATTAAGTGGCAGCAGAAGAATTATCATTGACCTTTTAAAAGGTAAGCTTAAATATTAATGCAATACTTAAATGCAGCAATTTTGAGTCCTTCTGTAGCTTATTATTGCCTATCGCATTTACTTCTCCTGACCTATTGTGAGGAAGGTCCAATCAGTTCATTCTTGAACTCAGAATTCTGTCACATGCTTGCACCTACTGCATTATTATAAGATTAAAGGGTCTGCCTGAATGGTTAATTTAATGTTTTTAACTTTGACTGGATAAAAGCATTGTTTTTAATCATTTTAAACAGGCACTTTTTTCTCTTCTTGCCACATTTTTTTCTTTTCTTTATGACCAAGTATGTTCGACCTAATGAATGTTTTGACCAAATTATGCAAGATTTTGGATGAATGCAATATACCAATTGACACAGAAAATAGCTCCTTTTTTAGTACCTGAGGTGATAGCCTAAAATAAAGCACTGGCTCTCTACATGGTTTGCGCTCATTATAAATCAAATCCACTAATAATTTTTTTTTTAATCATTTTACCCCAAGCAAGGCAATAAAGCCACTAAG